CTCCAGAACTGCTGTGGATGGACATCTGAACCAGAGTCCTTGATCCCATTTACTCTTGAGGTCAAAACACGGCCTCAGCTGAATTAGAGGACCAAGATTCTATCTGTTGAGATTCTACCAGGGCCCCTTCTTATATATTTCTGATTCTTGTCACTTGTGGAGCAAGACAGTGCGGCGCTGACTAATGCATTTGCCCTGAGAGCCGTGGTGCCCCTTTTCCCCGGAAGGAAGCCACAGGAGAAACACTTGGTCCCACAGAGGAGAAAGTCAGCATGTCGCTCAGCAGACAGTGAGGCAGAGTCAACCGACAGAAAGCAGAGGGATGAGGCCAGTGCCAGGTGGGGACAGAATGTCCTCGTTCTTCCCCTTGCCCAGTTGCTGTGAGGGATGGCCGTGTGCCAGGAGCCTTTGCCTTGACTGTTCTCTGGAGCTTTGTCTCTGTGCTCTCCTCTGTAGTGCTCTTTCCTGCTCTTCCCCTCCTGTGCCCCTCAGTTAGGGGAAATAGCATTATTGAGATACTGAGAAATACTTTGCCCAGAGATGGGGGTTTGGGGATGGGGGTTACCACAATGTCTTGTTTGGGTGGCAAAGTCAGACAGCCACTTCCTGATAGGGTCTGCTTTTGCCGGAAGCTTGCCTTGGGTTGCTCAGTGGTGACTTCCTGCCACAGCCTCAGGAACTCCCCACATCCAGCACATGAAGGTTTCCTACAGGGGAGGGGCTGGGGGATTCCTGCGATGAGGGGAGCTCCGTAACTGGAGTCAGCCTGGCCCCGGAGATTGGGTGTCTGCCTTGGGTTTCAGGTGTATTAAGTTGTCCCTTGTTGTGGAGTCGCATTGCTAATGAAAAGGCTCAGGTCACACTGATGATCCTCTGGGCTGTGGTTGATCGTGCTGATGATATCTGGCACGCAGAGGCAGCCCTGTTTCCACTGAGGCATGTGCCACTTACTTGGCGGGCAGTGGGCTGGCACCTGACATTAACCCATGAGGCACTGGCAGGAGGCAGACAGGTGCTGACCCGCCTACTGGCACATGGCAGCTTAGCCAGGATTTAGGCTGTAGCCAGTAGTTCCACAGTAGATGGCATTTTCTCTGCTTGCTGAAACACTCCCCTTGGTGTCTGCTCTTTGCCTCAGCTCTCCACCCTCCCTCCTTCCTCTCCTGTCAGGAGCCCCTTCTACCTCGTAGAGCTCTTTCTATGCCCCGAGACCGAGAGTTTGGGTTTCCCCTCAAGGGAGATTCAGAGAGCCTTCAGCTAACGTTTCAGGAAGCTCTGTGCCAGGTCCTGTTAGAGACAGGTTTTGTACTTCATCTCATAATCTTCACGGAAATTCGCTGGCATCAGAGTTATCACCACCTGCTAACAGGTGAGGAGGCTGAGGCCAGGAAAGGTTAACTAGGGTTCCAGGACCATGGGTAATTAATTAGTGGGAAAGGGAGGATTGGAGCCAAACTCTGACCCCCATATGTTCCTAATGGCCATGCTCTTCCATCTGTCAGGCTGTACTTCCGGTCCACTTTGTAGAGCTTTCTTTGGAGGCAGACAGCAATGAGAAGGAATGTTCTTTCACCTGGTATGCCCTATTTCCTTCTTCCAGTCTTCGCAGCACCTCCACTGCCTGACTAGGGGGCAGTAAGCTCTTTCCTATTTGTCTGTCCAGAGCGAGATATCTTCAGAGCCAGGTGAGTACCAGCCTGCCTCCCCTCATAGCTTGGGAGGCTGGAGGCCTAAGATTGAGGTCCTGGCAAATTTGGTGTCTGGGGAGGCCTTGCTGTCCACTACAATATGGCTTCTAGCTGTGTCTTCCCATGCCAGAGGGCAAAAGAGGATAACGAACTCTGTCAGGCCTCTCACAAGGGCCTTGGTGCCCAGAGGTGGGCTTTGCCTATCCTCCTAGTTCTCTGATGGCAGTGCTGTCACTGTGCTCCAGGACTCCAGTTATGGCCTGGCAGTCACTGAGAGTCACCGCTGGAGGGATAGAAGCCATGCAGCTGGGACAGCAAGAAGATCAAGAGGTCTGAGGCCGCCTCAGGCTCCAGGTGTGCGGTGGGGAAGCACTGTCCACAGGCATTATTAGGACCTGGCCCTGTCGCCTAACTAGGGAGTTTTTCTTGCCAGTGTCTGTGAGGTATTCAGATGGGAGGAATCACATCCCTGCTCTTGAGCTATAGGCACCCATCCCTTTTTATGCTCTCTGGGATGGGGGATGCCACTCATGGAATTTCTACTTTATGCCTGGCACTATGCTTAGACAGAGGAAGAGATTTTAAAAGCAGCCAACAAACAAAACTTGATCAAACACAAAATATGTTCTCTGAACTTAGGTACATTAGTGGGGATAGAAGACAAAACACAGGAGCAGGGAATGCTATTTTTGTTTTGTTTGGTTTGGTACCAGGGATGGGGATCCAACTCAGGACTCTGAGCTTGCAAGGCATGCAACGGCACCACTGAGCTAAATCGCTGGCCAAGGGAATGCTGTTTTTGAAGTCTTCCTCCCGGCCCTGTCCTCGAAGCATCTTCCTACCAGCTTCGGAGCCATTAGGTAGTGGTGGGCAGTCGCAGGCTGGGCTCTTCAGGCAGTGCTGAGGTGCTCCTAGGCGTCACCAAGAAAAGGCATGTGCACTGTGAGGATACCTAGGGGCTGAACTTGGTGTCCTGGGTGGATCGACAGCAGGGCCATGATTGAGCTCCCCAGCCACAACTTCAGCCAGTGTGTTCATTATTTTTAAGCATCCCTCCTTCTCTCTGCATATCTCTTTGCCCCATGGTCCTCTTGTTATGACCTGGCCAGCCTCTCTCTGTCCCATGTAGAGGGAGCTGGCTGTATTTCTTTTTGAGATAGGGTCTTTCTATGTTGCCCAGGCTGGCCTTGAGCTCCTGGACTTAATCAATGGTAAACGGAGGGATTGGAGCCAAACTCTGATCCCCATATGTTCAGCCTTCTAGGAATCTGGGATTACAGGTCTGTGCCACCATGCCTGGCTTGGAGGGAGCCGGTGTGATGGGCTTAACCATCCTCTCTTGTCCTTGTTGGCCAGCTCACTTTGATGGTCCAGTTAGGAGCTGCTTCTCCACAAAGAACATGCTGCACCCAGCCTTGCTTCCCTGAGAAGGGGCCTTGGGCTCAGAAACATTAGGCAGAAAGGGCACTGGCTGTGGCAGACTCCATGATGGACAGACATATCAGGTGTGCCAGGAGTCAGTGAGGCTGCTTGCCAGACTTTGGGTCTTTGGTTGGCAGAGGGCCGTCCTCCTGACTTTCTCTTCCCAGGGCTCCCAGAACCTTTGCTGGAGCTGTGTAGAGATGGCTGGCTTGTTCCTTTGTACTTCTGTATTCTGTCTTGTAGGGACAGTGGTAGTACTGTCAAGGCAATGAATCTAGGCTTACTGGAGTCTTGAACCATCTCAAGGAACAAGGAGTTCCCTGCAAACAGGTTATGGTGGGTACATTAGTCACTCAATGCTGCTATAACAAAGTGCCTTAGACGAGTAATTTATACACAACAAAAATGTATCACCCACAGTTCAGGTGGCTGGGAAGTCTGAGATCAAGGTGTTGGTAGATTCACTGTCTGGTGAAGCTCATTTTACTGCAAAGGCAGCACCTTCTAGCTATGCCTTCCTGTGGCACAGGGCAAAGAGGGATGGGAAGCACTTTCAGGCCTCTTTTACAAGACTGCCAATGTGAGTATGCAGTCTGCTCACAAAACCTCATTGCCTCCCAACATCACTGCACGGGGGCTGTTTCAACCTCTGGATTGTGGGGGCGTGCAGACGTTTGTACAGCAGCAGTGGGCTTGCTTCTTGTGCTGCCTCACCCCCAGACGTCCCAGAATATCAGAACAGGGTGGACTGTGGCAGGATGTGAATGAAAAAGCATCCTGGTTCTCACAGGATCAGAAATGCCTGGGTGGGTTTGCAGAGATCAGTTTCCCAGTTCTGGCTCAGCTGTGGGGTGTGAGGACATGAGTGAGCTGGCCTCTCTGCCTCCCTGCTTCATGGGGATTCTGTAGACAAGGCAGGTGCTGAAAAGGCAAGTATTTCTATGAGCCCTCGGTGTGGCTCTGCCCAGGGGCGCACAGAGGTTCAGGGTGCAGAAGATTTGGCAGGTCGGCTGGGCATGGTGGCGCACACCTGTAATCCTGTCATTAGGGAGGCTGAGGCAGGAGGATCACGAGTTGGATGCCAGCTTGGGCTACATACATAGCAAGTTCAAGTCTAGCCTGACTACATAGCAAGACCTTGTCTTAAAAAACAAAACAAAAAGTTAGGTCTGGGGGAGCCCTGAGAATCTGCATCTCAAGCTCCCTGATGAGGTTGGGGGCTGGTAGGGTAGCAGAGTAGCCAGGTCCTAGAGTGGTGATGGCGAACCTTTTAGAGCTGTCAATGATAACAAGAAGCCTGCTGCAGTGCGTGTGGCATAGGGTCACCACCACTGGCCTAGACCATGTAAGCCCTTTTCTGAATCAGGTTTCTTTGGGTTTGCTTTCCTGACTGCGCCCCAGGGGAGTCTTTATTCGGCAGAGGAAAGATAGGAGTGAGAACTAGAGTGAGTCAGGTGCTTTATATACACCGTTTAATTATATCTCATAACAAACCCTAGGAGGCAGCGGAATGCTCAGTCCATAGGGAAGACTTGTCCACAGGCACACAGCATATGCCCAAACCGGGACTGAGACTCAGCCTCATTGACGCCAGTGCCAGTCAGTGTCTCTTCCACTGCATTACGACTCTAACTTTCTTTGGTGTCACTCCCTGTGCTGGGAAAAGCACAGGTTTCTGCGCTTCAATTATGATTCAATAGGCGTTGGTAAGCCAAGGTAGCTGCATCAGGAAAAAAATCTTCAGGGGTGATTCCAAAGCTGAGAATCTGTGAAGCTCACTGTGAGAAGCAGCAGCACTGCACTCCCTTCCAGAGTAGTCCCATCTTCTTGTCTCTTTGCCTCTCCTGACAGCTGCTTTTAGCTCTTCCTCCCTCCCCTCTTCTCTTCCAGAGAAAAAGTCTTCTTCATATTGGACGCTTCTCTTCCAGGAAAGCTCTCTCAAGGACCCACAGGGAAACAGGAAACGAAGCATGCAAGCCAACTCTCTGCCCCAGGAATCAGTGCAGGAGGTAGCATGGGCTCTGACACCACACGAACCTGTGTTGGACTCTCTCACTCCTTGCCATGTCAGTTTTGGAATAGTTATTTCCCTCTCTGGGCCTTTGTTTCTACTCTACTCACCTCTGTAAGGCCCAGGACCGTATATTGTCTTGTCTTTTCCACTCTGTTCTCTGGGCACAGTGTTCTCATAAACATCTGTGGGATAAAGGAGGGAAAACCTTCTGTCTCCCCACTCTCCTGTGACCACTTTGTGTAAGGCACCCCTGCCCCGAAGTGTGAGATGAAGCTCATTACTTACATGGTACCTCAAAAAAGATTCACCTGGGAGAAGGGGTCAGGTTCTGTCTGGAGTGGAGTGAGAAGGGAGTTGATGTTTGGGATGTTTTGCGTGATTAGGGGTAAAGCCTAGATAGGGTACCCTTGTCCTGCCAGTCAGGCCAGGTGGTTTGAAATTTCCATCGGGGAGATGGTTCCTGTGGGCTTTCTTATCAGGTTATCCAGAGGTGGGCCAAAGAGGAAAGGAGAGGCCTGGGACTCTTGAAAGCTATCAGAGGTCAATGTCAAAAATAGTCTTTCTTTTTTAATTCTGTTGATGTTGAGCACTTTTTTCTGTGCTTATTTCCTTACTTGTGATGCTCCTCCTGCCTCAGCCTCCCGAGTGCTAGGATTACAAGTGTGTACCACCATGCCCAGTGTTGTATGCTTCTTGGCCATATCATACACCTTTGCATAGCTTCCGTGTATTTGTCCATATTTTAAGTTGCATTGTTTGTGAGAGTTTATAATCTAGATGTAAGTTTTGTAAATACTTCTCCCAGTGCTTTGATGGCACACTGTTCTTGGAAGGAGGCACTATACTGTCAAAGAAGAGTTTCTTGATTCTCTTCTCTGCCAGATACTAGTGAGAAGCAAATTCCTGACAACAGTTCATCCAGGGAGGGAGCAAGCCTGTTCCTGCCTCCCACCAAGGCCAGGCGTCCCCTCCTTCCCTCCTTTCATCCTCCTCCTCTTTGTCACCCTTTCTCTGTACACAAAAAGGATGCTACCAGACACTGTCCATTTGGAAAAGTACAGCTGAATAGATATGAATCAGCTTGGGTGGGCGAAAATGATTCATGTCTGACCAATGCAATTTAGTTCAGCTCGCCCATTCTGAATCTGTTTCTGCCTCCTAATTAAACGACGTTCGGGCTTGATGTTGGGAAGGGAAAGACTGAGTTTGATCTGTCTGTATTTGAGGAAAGCTGGGGATGAGATGGGTAGGAGGACGTTTTCCCACTTGGCAGAGCACTGATGTGAAGGTTGGATGGCAGTGGTTTGGGGAATGCTGGTGCCCTTGGGGCACTCTGCCCTGGGCTGTGCCGAGTGGTGACAGATGCCCACCGCCCTGCCTTCCCCATGTTCCCTTTGTGACACCCACTCCTGACCTGCCTTGAGGGAATGCATGAAGACTCTGGCTTATTTACCCTGCTAGACACAGCCTTTGAATCACTGAGCAGTTAGGGCCCGAGAGAGGCACATGACAGAAACATCTTCTGTCGGTCAGCAAGCATGGTCAAGCCCATCTGCTGCTGGTGGGTGCTGGCTTTGGCTGCGCACTTCCCCAAGTAGGTTTCTGCCCTGGGCTGGTTTGCAAATGCCTTGTGTTTCCTGACTTTTGTTATCTTAGCTCCTCAAGCCCCTGGGCGAATCGCCTGAGAACTCTGTGCTCCCTGTGCCTTCCCCAGGACACTCCCTGCCACACCTCATGTATGGCCAGGTGCTGGTCCTCCTGTGCACCCACTACCTCCAGGTGCTATGCTAAGATATGATGATGGCTGCTTGGATTATGCAGGCAGGAGTCATATTTCACATGTTCTTCTCAACAGCCCTCCAAGATCATAAAATCCATGTTTACTCCGGAGGAAATGGGGCTTGGGGAATCAAGGTACCCAAAGTACAGCTATAAGTTAAGTGGCCAAAAATCAGCCTAGGCCAGACCTCAAAGCTACTGCTCCCTGTAGTAAACAACAGCACCTCCTGGGGCCTAAGGGCTGAGTCAGCCACAGAGATGGGCCTTGGGCTTGCAACCGTGCTCTCCATGATCCCTGTCTTCCCCAGATCATGATTGTGCTACAGCCTCTCCAGGTTGTTAATGAGACAGAAGGAGTGTCCAATTCCTAGGGATTCAGGAAGGATAAATGCAAATGCGCTCTTCGGAAATATAAATAGGAAGGATTCACCAGTGTGTAAAATGAAATACAACTCCAGTCTCCTCTCTGCTTCCCCGTTTCCCTCAAGTGCTTTACTGCTGACCACTTTCAGCTCAGGAAGGAAAGGAAGCTCTGGGCACTTCTTTAGGATCAGTTTATGGTTCAAGAATGCCCTTACCTTATACCAGTGGTGGTGAACCTTTGGCATGCATGCTGTAGCCGGCTGTTTGTTATCACTGAAAACTCTAAAAGGTTCATTATCACTGCTTTCTTTGTACCATCTCTGCCACATTGAGGCCAAAGGAAATCCCTTCACATGTGAGCACCCCAGGCCTTCCCTAGTCAGTTATCAGCAGGTGCCCTTCCTAACTTTCTTGTTTGCTCTCTTTCCCAGGTGTTGACTTTAAAATGAAGACCATAGAGGTAGATGGCATCAAAGTGCGGATACAGATTTGGTGAGTTGGGCAGGAGGAGGAGGCAAGTATAGGAGGAGAGGATCCTGGGCTGCTCCTTAGCTTCCACTGCCCTGTGTAAAATCTCTCAGCTTCCTCTGGGATAAGTGGACAGCACTATGAAGGAGAGAAGTCCAAAAGCCCGCCTCCTGCTCCTAAGAGCTTCACCTCTCATCTCTTTCTTAAGAAACAAGTCACCAAAGGACAGGGATGAGAAGGAATTGGTGAACTACCCATTGTGGGTTTATCTTAGAACTAGGCTTTACCCTTGGGCTGTGCCACACTGTGGTTAAGGATGGAAAGCTCCATCCGGTCCATTGGAGCGGGACCCTGAGAGTTCCTCCTGTATGGCATGGTGCAGTTTCCCCCAGGAGCCACCAGGGGCTGCTGTGGCTCTCTGGCTTGAAGGTCTTGGAAGGACTCACTGCCTTTGCTGGAGCTGTGGAGCTACCTCCCATCCCACAATGGCATAAGCCTTACCTTCAGAGGTCCCAGGGGCACTGGGAGTGTAGCAGCATCCTCCTCCCATATAACCAAGTCTGGCCACAGTGGCCAAATCCTACAGAGAACTAATTCTGAGGACTCAGTTATACCTGGTTGTGGGTACAGATATGGCTGTAATTGTCAAGAGAGGCCAAGGGCTTGCAGGCCTTGCCAGTGCCAGTAAAGGAGACTGGCCCTCTCACTGCAGTCGGGGGTGTTCGGATCCCTTTAGGGACCAAAGCACCACTGATTTTTCACCCTACAGCGCCCCAGTTTCTCCTGCAAGGGCACAGTCTCCCAGTTCCTTCTCCTCCCAACCCCTTCTGTTCCTATGGTTCCTGCTCCTCTGAGGGACTGGCTTTCTACTGCAGGGACACAGCGGGGCAGGAGAGATACCAGACCATCACAAAGCAGTACTATCGACGGGCCCAGGTGAGCCACCATTTTAAGGGTGTAGAGGCGGGAAGCTGCCACCCGGACTCCCAGCTCTGGGTCTTTGCGGACTCTATGTCACTGACCCTGAAGAAAGTGCCCTCAGGTTGCCTGCTTGGAGGCAGCCTCAGGGCAGTCTTCCAGCTGTTCAAAGGTCTTCATTCACCGTGTACTTAATGTAGACTGGTCGTTCTCCCTCCCTCAGCTTCCACCTTGGATTCTGAACCAAGGACCCAGGTCACAGCATGTGGTACCCTTCTGCCCAGAGAGTCTGTCCTATGATGGTCATAGGAGTGGCAGCTGTGGGGGCCTGAGAGAGAATAGCCATTTCTGGTGCCCGGGGGTCCTCACACTATGCAGAGAGAATGGCATGGCGGGGGCCGGTCTGTAAGGCCCTGCTCTGGCCCAGACTGCACTCCGTGTGCATCTCCCTCCCCCTTCTCTTTCTGTCTCTTTGTCTCCCTCTCAGGGAATATTTTTAGTCTACGACATCAGCAGCGAGCGTTCTTACCAACACATCATGAAGTGGGTCAGTGATGTGGACGAGGTAGGAGATGCCACCTCACTGCCGGCTGGGGAAGGCAAAGCAAGGGCCAGGCGGGAAGAGTGGAAGTGCTCAGGGTTGGCGAGTAAATGCTGCCAAGAAATCTTATAGCCCTGGATGCAGGCCGCGGCTGAGTAAGTCACCTGGAGGGAGTGAACCTGCCCTGCTGCCATGCTCTGTGCCTCGCCAGGCCTCCATAGCTGTGCCTCTGTGGGAAGCAGTTAGTTTCAAGCCCACCCTGCGAGCATCTTTCTTCCTGAAATCTCAGGAGTAGGTGGAACTGCAAGACTGGGTCAACACCTGTGTGCCGGGCTCTGAACTCTCTGGGTCCCTACTGCATTATCCACCAGACGAGGGCTGGGTTTAAAAGTCCAGTGTCCTTTCCAGCTCAGATACCACTTGTTCAACCGAACCAGGCATTAACATTAGCCAGAGTGTCTCCTGCTCTAAGCTGTCCCCGAGACACTCCTGGGACCAGCCACATACAGTGGTCCCCCCTTATCTGCCGGGGATGCAGTCCAAGAAGCCCAGGAATGACTGAAACTTGGAGAGGACCCGCCCTTCCTCTACTGTGTTTTCCCTAGACATGCGTAGGTATGATAAAGCCTAATGTGTAAACTAGTCACAGTGAGAAATTAACAATAATAACTGATACTAAAATAGAACAATTAACTATAGTAAAAGTTACTAAAAACTTAGGAATTGTTTATTTCTGGAATTTTCTGGGTCATACTTTTTTAGACCATGGTTGGCTGGAAGTTGACTGAAATTGTGGAAAGCAAAACCGTGGATAAGGAGGGGCTTCTGTACTCAGGGGAGCCCGGCACCTGCATCCAGTCCCCACGGTCATACACAGTCCCTATTCTGCCCCCTTGGCTCTTACCGGGCAGTGGTTTGGAGGCCAGTGTAGACCCTATGGGGACATGGGAGGGAAGGGCAGCTCTCACCGGCAGTTCTGCCTGTCCTCTGCCATAGTATGCACCAGAAGGTGTCCAGAAGATCCTTATAGGGAATAAAGCTGATGAAGAGCAGAAACGCCAGGTGGGAAGAGAGCAAGGGCAGCAGGTAAGTGGAGTGCTCCCCTTGGGTCTTCTGCAGCACGCCTGGGCCCAGTCCCGCAAGTGGGCACCCCAGGGTGCTCCCCATCATCAGGTCCTCTCACACATCCACAGCACCCTCAGGCCCCGGGGGAGTGGCCATCCTTGAAAGTCTGCTCTCTGTCCTTCAGGACAGTGATCTGAGTCCGCACAGAAACAAAGGCATCCTGGGCCGCAGCTCTTGTAGGTCCAGCAGGATGACCTGTGTGAGAGATCATTCCAGTGCGAGTGACGAGGAAGGACTTTGCGTCCTGAAGTCTTCTCCAGCAGCATCCGGGAGCCCACTGTGCTTCCTGCACAGTCACTCCCTGTCCTCCATGTGCATGGGAAGAGGGAGGGAGGAAAGCAAGGGCATGCAGGGCCTACGGCTGAAGAAGCAGAAAAGGCAGAAGATGGCGTAAAATGTCCGAGCATGCAGGGAGCCATCCTGCCCGAGAACAGAGAGAAATCGATGCTCTGAGACAAGAAGCAGCCGCCCACTCTGAGGGCCTCAAGAGTTTTCCTCACCCTCTTCAGTCAATAGCATTCCATTAGCCCTTAAGAGAAAATTGATTTGGGGGTATAAACAATACTATACGGTCATTGAAAAATGCAAAAGTAGAGGCAACACTGCTAGAGTATTTACTGAGCACTGTATGTGTGGCACTGTGCTAAGTAAGTGCTCTTCGCTGCACGACCCCACTTAATCTGCAGCTGCAAACCACAGGTGCTATCATTTCCTCCACAGAAGAGGAAACTGGGCTGAGGGTGGAGGAGCCTCTCTGCCAAGGCTCTACAGCCACTGAGTGGCAGCACTAGTGGTCAGGCCCGGGTCTGTGTGCTCTGAGTCCGTGGTGTTCATGAGTCAGCCTCACTGCCACTGCATTTTGGTGTCTTGCTGTCCTGATGACTGATGAGGGTGTTTTAGGAGGTGTCTGGGTAGGGAGAAGAAATGCAGTGCATTTGGGGAGCATCTCCCCCATTCTCTACTGGCCTGCATCTTGGAAGGAGCATTCAGTCTCATCTGAGAAATTGTTATAACATGGCTTGGTCTTCGAGAGCACTGGCAGAAGTACGTGCTGAGTGGTGGCGCCTCTTCTCATGGACTTTCTTTCAGAAATGTCCTTCTCTTGCAGCTGGCTAAAGAGTACGGCATGGACTTCTACGAAACAAGTGCCTGCACCAACCTCAACATTAAAGAGGTGAGTGCTGTGGAGACAGCCCTTCTCTGGCCTAGTACCGCAGAGTGCGGACCCGCAATGAGATGGGATTGGCCCCTCAGGCCGCTGCAGGGCTGCCTGGGGAAGAGGAGGGGCCGAGGCACTCACTGGGCCCCTTCATTTCCAGTCTTTCACGCGTCTGACGGAGCTGGTGCTGCAGGCCCACCGGAAGGAGCTGGACGGTCTCCAGACACATGCCAGCAACGAGCTGGCCCTGGCAGAGCTGGAGGAGGAGGATGGCAAAGCTGAGGGCCCAGCGAACTCTTCAAAAACCTGCTGGTGCTGAGGGACCTGCGTGGGGTGCCCCACACAGACCCTTTCCCTCAGGAGGCTGGTGGGCAGACAAGGAGCCTGGGCCCTGCCCGCTGCTGCCTCTCCTTTGATGACCTGTTGAATCAGTGGCTGCTTCTCTTCCCTGCCTGGCCCTGAGAGCAGCTCTGCTGTCACCTCTGAGCAGCCTCTGTCCCTGGCCCCCTCCCCTGGAGTGGCATCCTTCAGCCTGTTTCCCCAGCCACAGGCGTGCTGTGACCCGACAGTGTGCTGCGAGCAACGTCTCCCGCCCGGGCTCTCTGGACAGTGGCTGGGACTGGAGTGGAGACCGTGTAAAGTCTCCTCCACTCTCAGTGCATCTTGTCTCCTCTGCTTTCTCTCTCCTTTCCGCTCTCCCCGGTCCTCCCTCCAGTGTGTTTGTACTGAGGCCCCTCCCATGCTCTGCCTGTGTCCTGCTGTGTGGCTGCCGGAGCAGCTCCTTCCTTCCATCCCTGACTAAGGAAATGGGCCCAGGCTGCTGGGGAGTCGTCTCAGCTTCTGCCCCAGGGAGGACCCCCAACCTGCTCTGGGCTGGGCCAAAGGCTAAGGGTGCTTCTCCTCCCCTCCCCACTGCCCCTTCCTGTGCCATGGGCCTGCCTCCCCCAGGACCTTGGAGGTAGGAAGGAAACGCCGTCTGGTGGACCTCAAGCCCAGGGCTGTCCTGCCTCTGCCTGCTCCCCGTTTGAGCTTTGGCCTTGCTCAGCGGCCCCCCTGCCTCTGTGGGAAACTGAGCTCGGAGGCAGTGCTTCAGAGAAGAGGAGAAAATGATGAGGGGTGGCAGGGAATAAAGTCACCTCCATTCTCTACCTCTCATGCCGCATGTACACAACTTCTCTCCACCTGGGCTCCTGAATGTCAGGATGGGTACCAAGGCCTGAGGGTGCCAGAGGGGCAAGGAGAGCCCTAGAGGTGGTGACATTGTCAAGCCAACTACACATTCCAGAAAGAGGAGGGATTAGAAGTGAAAGCCTAGCTCCTAGGTGTCAGAGCAAGGACAAGCAGGCCAGGGGCAGCATGTGGCAAAGCAGAGCGGATGTGGTAGCAAAAGGCCTCTTGGTCCTCTCTTCTCTGCTCACGTAAGAACTTTTCCCCAGACTCCCTGGCAGAGGTGAGAGGTGACATAAACACATCACTCTTACTGAACCCAGCCTTTGGCAATGAAGGTTTTCCTGGGCCCCAGTACCTGTGGGAGAAGGGCAAAGAGTTCACAGGAAGAGAGAAAGATGGCCCTGGTGCTGTCCTCTTCAGCCTTCAAGACAAAGTGCTTATCTTGCCCTCCTACTCCCTTGTAGACTTGAGGGTCTGCCAATTGCACTGTGGCTACCAGGGCATGGAGGAGGACTCCCTCCTCCTGACTTTTATGTTCAGGAAGTTTCTTTCACCCCAGGAGCCCAAGAAGAGCTTGAAGGAGTCTTTTGAAAGGCTTATGTCAGTTACCAGCCCTGCTTGGGTTCCTGCTCACCTTCCTGAGGTGGGAGAAGCCCAGGGAAGAGAATCGTTCCTCAGTTGCACTTTGTGGCTGGGGCTGGAGCCAAAATAAAAAACTGGGCATTGAGAATTCCCCCAACCAGGGACCCACATCAGGGTGCCACTTCCTTATTCCTCCAAAGAAGGAAGTGAAGATTAAAATCACTGGACATTTCCTCCTGGCTCTTACCAAACCAGGGGAGAGCCAGAAGGAGAGGGTGGCTCAGGGTTTAGGATGGGGAAGAGGTGAGCATGGTGGAAGGAAAGAGAGCAGGAAGAGAAATAAGTCATTGGCAAATGAGAGACTTAGAGCTGATGCATTAGGATGAAGCCATGACTGGCTGCGGCTGCTTCCTTGAGGACTGACTTGTGCAGCCCTGTGCAGGAGGTGAGCAGGGTGGTGATGCCAATCCTGTCTGCCCTCAGCTCTCGGGCTGAGAAAGGAGAAGTTATATTAGGCACTGGCACCCACCTGTGGGCCAGTGTCGTCGCTTTCCTTTAGATCAGGCAGAGCACTGCTGTCTTTCTCTCTTAGCCCCCTCAGGAAAGAAGGACTATATTTTTATTGTACCCTAAGGGTTCTGGAAGGTAAAACGGACCAATGAGCCCTCTTCATGAGGGCCACAGCTGGGAACAGGTATGGGAGCAAAAAGAGGGCTGGGGTGTTAGGGTGCAGCTACACTCACCAGGAACCAGAGTTGGCCTCTCACCCCCGCACTCCAGTCCCGGAGGTGGCTGGGCTGTGTCATTTGGCCTAGACTGTTGAGCAGGCTTTCCTGGCCTGTTTCCTTGTCACCGCCTCTGCCCCTATGTCTTGAGACTCAGCCCAGCCCCTGGGTACCACCTGCTCCTGAGCCCTACCATCTCCCTGTGACAGGTGAACTTTGTGTACTGTGTCTTGGGTCCATTATAGGAAGTGTGAGCAGGGTTCATCTATTTTAAACACAGATGTTTACAAAATAAAGAATACTTAAAATCACAAGTGTGGCTGCCTGTGTTAGCCCTTGAGAGGAGGTCTCACTGGGACCCTGGTGGTGAAGTGGGAAGGGGAGAGTGAGTACTGATAGAAGAGGCACCAGAATCCTAAATCAACAACAGAATGGCAGTGGAAGTGGCAGACTGTCTTCCATTTTGTACCTTTCCTAGTGCCACCTGCAGGGGAGCCCAAAGCATAGCTCCCACTGCCGTGCTTGCACTGCAGAACTAAGATTAAGCACAGTCACTGGAGGATGCCAAACACCCAAGTTTGTGGGGGTGGGTGTCTTGGTTACTTTCCTTGTTGCTGAGACAAAATACCTGACACCCAAATTTAAAGGAGGAAAGGTTTATTTCAGTCTGTAGAGGTTTCAGTCTACAGTCAGCTGGCTCCAAGGCAGGGTGGCATAGCAGAGGGGGATTGCAGAGGAGAAACAGTTCATGGTGGGCAGAAGGCAGGAAGGCAGCAAGCTACAAGTGACAAGCAATGACACTTTCCAACCCTTATATCTTATCCAGCCTACCTACCCTTAGGGTGGGTAGCAATCACACCCAGGGTGGGGCACCCTTAATCCTAGCATCACCCTCTTAATCTCAGAATCACACACCCTAGATCCAGCCACCTCTGAAAAGCCCCACCTATGACCACATGAGGCTTTGGGGAGGGAGGGTCTTTAAAGCTGAGTGGTTTCCATCTGTTCAGGATGGATGAAGAACAGATCTTCCTGAAAGTATGAAGGACTAAGTAACTGCAGATTTGTGACTGGATACCTTGGGGAAGCAGAAGCAGAGTGGAACCTCAAGATTCTGTAGATAATACTGTACTTTGGCATAAGGAGTTGCCAGAGGAGGCAGGAAATGGGGTAAGGATAGAAGGAAGAAGTAAAACAGGACAGGACAATTGCAGTTTTAAGAACTTAACCACATTTTATAGTTTCCTGAGTGTTTGTGATACTTTCCTCTGATCCTAACAGTCACCATGTAAGAGAGGGAGGATGGTTGTCTTTATCAGTGTTCAACTGATAAGGGAACAGGTGCTTGGAAAAGATTTGACAAAGGGCTCCAAGTGACAGCAGAATTATGGCTGGAAACCACTGCTGTGGAATCTGGAGGAGAAAGCTTTGGCATTTCTATTTAGAAAAATCTCTATAAGCAATTCTCATTTGTGGTCAGAACTGAGAATCGCCCACCAAGCAGCAAGTGCTGCTTCCAGAACAACCAGTGCCCTGCAGAAAGCTGTGAGAACCACACAGTTGTCAGTGCATGCCCAGGAGAGACAGGCCAACATGGAGTAAGGCTGGAAAAAGGTAGTTTGGGAGCATCTCATCAGCTGCAGCTAATTGCAAGAGGTGGGAGACTCCTGAGTCAAGCTGGAGGAAAGGGACAGCATGGTTCCCCTTCCTCACTTTGGACTCCTGTGGCCCGCCCAAAGAGGGCTTGCAAAAGAGCAGTGAAGAAGAGGTTTCTCTGGAAGCCCAGGGTACTAGGCAAGCGGATAAACCTGGCAAGTTGATGGTGAGGCTTCACCCACTGTCCGTGACAAGTTCCTCTGACTTGGTAGCTTAGAAGGGACATTTGTTGGCTGCACTCAGCCTCAACAGAGGATATGCTTCACTCTAGTTCCTGCCACCCCTTCTGGTGGCAAAAGATTCTATTCCACTTGGATAATGGAAACTTGTTTCTAGGAAGTAGCCAGCTGAGACATACGGTTTCCCTGTACTTAAACAGCCCCAAAACAAGGGATATTCAGGAAAGCAGGGTACTCCCTGCGGGGTAGTCCCTCCATCTCCTCAATAAATCAGTCTCAAGACCAGCTGCTCCCAGCCTTGCTTCTGTTTTGTTCTAGAAAACAGTTCCCAATGGATGTCTACCTGGGAAAACACTCTCTGGGAAACGTCTGCCTTCTTACTGAAAATTTCTCTAAGATCCCAAAGCCAGGGAAGGCCTAAGGCCCTGGTTTCAGGGATGGAGCAATCAGGCGTTAAAACACTGACTTGTTTATTGGAGGATGCTTGAACAGCGAAGTGGCATCAGGGTCTTTAGTTTCAGTAGGCCTGGGAGGGAGGCTCCCATGCCAGTCCTCTGCAGGTCTTGAGATGTGCTTGCAGTGCACTGTCCTCCTTGGTCTAGCACCTCAGCAGCTTCACTTCCCCACATACTTCCTGCTGTGGGGAGATGAGCAGTACAAGGCCCCTCTAAAAAGCCCGGCATTAAAGATTTATCTGAGGAAGATGTGTACAGTTTATCCACCTGGAGTTTGCCCGCCAGTTCTGTGACTTGTCAGCATCATCCCAGCAATGACTGTATCCTCACCATTTCGGAGTGGAGGTCAAGGTGGAGGGAGGGGCGGAGCAGAGGAGATGGTACAGAGCAAGGACAAGGGTAGAAGGGTGCTACAGGACAAGGAAGGCCATCCTCTGAAAGACTTTTCAAGACAAACGCAACTTCACTTTTTCTACCTGGTGCAAACTGAGGCACTGAAAAACGATACATTCTCCTACTGAGGGTCCCTTTGGTTTTGTGCTTATACAGAGCAACAGCCAACGAGAAAGATGTGAAAAATGTGAATTTTACCGTTCATCCTACAAGGTGGGTACAAGCCCAGATTCTCTTCCTCATCTTTCAGATCCTTCCAGACTTTGATTTCTCATGGTACAATTCAGAGACTGGCACTCAATAAATGCCTGTGCCAAAGGAAAGTAACTTCTGGGGCAAACAGAAGTCAATCTTGCATTTCCCCCTCCCTTTTTTCCTCCCCATTTGACCTTTAGGGCTCTGGTTTCCTGCAAGTAGTGAATTATTTACAGATGCTCATAGATATCAAGCTGGCCCTTTCCAGGCTGCCAGCAGGGTGGGGCAGTGAGGTGGCTTTGTTCAGACTCAGAGTAGGAGGAGCAGCCTCCTCAACACACAGGTGGATGCTTGTTTTTGCAAAGTCATTGTGGGATTGCTCAAAGGCCCATTGTGCAATCCTTTCTGTCCTTTGCAGCTCCTCCTTCCTCCCCACCCTTTCCATAGACCCTGAAGTGGGTGCACGCCCCTCAGCATACTCGCTGTGCTCTTCACCATGGCTTACATTGCCAAGTCCTTCTACGACCTCAGTGCCGTCAGCCTGGATGGGGAGAAGGTAGATTTCAACACATTCCGAGGCAGGGTAGTGCTGATTGAGAATGTAGCCTCCCTGTGAGGCACGACCACCCGGGACTTCACCCAGCTCAATGAGTTGCAGTGCCGCTTCCCCAGGCGCCTGGTCGTTCTTGGCTTCCCTTGCAACCAATTTGGACATCAGGTGAGCTGTTCCTTGTGTTGTACTGGGGAACCGGGCTGACATAGTTTGAGCAGGAAGATACTGGAAAGGGATGAATGACCATGCATGTTAGAGTCTGGAGTCGTGTTTTCTCGAGCTAGGTCTTTAGGTGCATGTGAAATACCAAGGGGAACAGGTATGTTCTGAGATTAAACATCGAAGGGGTGTGTTTTTATTATTGTCTCTCCACTCTATTCCATGAGGGCTGATACCAGGTATGGTCTTCTGTCCATTGTGTCCTCAGCGCCAGTTGCAAAGGGTCTCATTAAATATTTGTCGAATGAGTGAGAGAAGGAAACAGAAAGGTAAGGCTCAAACCAGGATTGGACTGACTCAAGAGATCTTAGTTCTTGTCTTGTCTTTATTGGCTCTGTGCGCTTGGAAAAGACATTCAATTTTTCTTAAGTAACTCATCTGTAAATTGGAAATAATTATCAACTCAGAGGGCTATTGTGAGGTTAATAGGGTAAGACATACAAAAGGAACTAGAAAAATATAAAGTACTATGCAAATACAAGCAATTTGTTATTTAGATTGTAGACTCATTTGTTTAAATCAGAGGTAGAAAGTGAATACAGAAAAAAGAGAAAGGTCTGCAATAGGCATGTGTCTCCTCTGGGCATCACAGGCACACATGTGTCTCTGAATAATGGGTCAAGACCCATTCGTTATAGACATTCAGCCTGCACACCTCAAGTTATCTTCTAGGGACTCTTCCATTTCTAGTTATGACTTTAATTGTACAAGCAAACAGAATGTCCCCAAGTGAACCTTCCATGTTTAACTCCCTTAGTTCACAGTGGCATGAAGGCAAGAAAGGATTAGCCAAGGTGTAAGCAGGAAGGCTGAAGGTTCATTGACTGTGACCACCAGAGCACAAACCATCACTGCTCTCACTGTTCCTTCCCTCTCAGTTCTCTTTCCAGCCTTTGCCAGGGCAGGAGAGACAGAAAGGGCAGAAGCTCTTCAGAGGCATCTGCAGCCCTGATCCTTTTAGCCTTACAACACATCTCTGGGCTAGCTCGTTGCTGGAAGGAGTCATAACCTACCAGGAGCCAGCCAGCCATTTGTATTAAGAGATAAGTATTATAGAGGGCTGGGGAGTTAGCTCAGTGGCACCATGCCTGCCTTGCAAGATCAAGCCCCTGAGTTGGATCCCCAGTACCAAAAAAAAAAAAAAGTATTGTAGAGATCAGCGGAGGTTCAGGAACGTCATGATGGCCTGGAGCTGACTGTACTAACGGGTTCTAGTAGGTCAGAGGCAGAAACTTTCTCCCAGAGGGAGATACTGCCATTCAGACTGGAGAGGAGGGGGTGGGAAATAAGAGTTCTTACGGGCCTTTGGGGTTGTTGCGGGTGGGGAGTGCTGAGTGGGTAGAGGATAGGAATGGGTGTAGGGAGAGAAAGACAGGTGATAGCTTCAAAGTTAAAGCATTCATAGTTGAGTACAGCGAGTGAAGATGAGGGCCCATGGATAGCAGCCTAGATGCGGAAGGAACAATCACAATAAACTTTAGCCCTCAAGCACTTATTTTCTCAATTGACACCCCCCACATACTCCAGAGCCTTAAACCTGCTTTCCTGTTTGACTCATTCCTGTTGGTCGCTAAGTAGTTACATGCAGAGAACATCTGTTGTTGTCTCTAACTTGCTTGACCTTTATGGCATCTGGCCATGGTCCCAGCTTGCTCCTATTTGCACTTGAGTCCTAGAACAAGGCAGGACAAGAGCTAGAAGTCATAAATCCCATTCCCACTGGCCTTACTTTCACCCTCGCTTGGAGGAGCTGAGTGGGGCAGAGGCAAAGAATGTACTTAACACACATGGAATTAGGAGCAAGGAAGGCACAATGAGGGAGAGGAAAGGGTGGCAGCAGGGACGAAGTGTGTGTGTGTGCGCGTGCGTGTAGGTAGATAGGCAGGTAGGTGTGTCATAAGTAGGACAGGTTCTAGGTAGTATGACCTGAGCCTCCTTTCCGTTTCTTTCTTCGCCCTGAATTTAAGGTTCCTTGAAGATTCAAACAAATAACTCAAGAAATGTCCAGGGCCAACTGGGGTCAGTCTGATCATTAAGTGCAAGGACAGCCAGGTTAGGAACTATAGGAACTTTTAGAAATGGTCTAGCACACCATAAAACAATAGCTGGGTGAGGGAAAATGCCGAGTAGGGAAAAGGAAAGACAGAGCTCATCATGTGGAGTGTGTCAGAGAGAGAGGAGGGAAGGCATAGGGCCAGGAAGAGGAGGGTGGAGGGAGGGAGGGGAGGATAATGATGTAGGGCAGCGAAGGAGGTTGAAAGGTTTGCAGGCGGTAGATCCTTCATTCCCCCTCGGCCCTTTTCCATGTTGTCCTTTTCTTCCCCCAGGAGAACTGTCAAAATGAGGAGATCCTAAACAGTCTCAAATATGTCCGCCCCGGGAGTGGATTCCAGCCTACCTTTACTCTTGTCCAGAAGTGTGAGGTGAATGGGCAAAACGAGCACCCTGTCTTCGCCTACCTGAAGGACAAGCTCCCCTACCCTTACGACGACCCATTTTCCCTCATGACGGACCCCAAGCTCATCATGTGGAGTCCAGTACGGCGTTCAGACGTGTCCTGGAACTTTGAGAAGTTCCTCATAGGACCAGAGGGGGAGCCCTTCCGACGCTACAGCCGCTCTTTTCAGACCATCAACATTGAGCCTGACATCAAGCGACTCCTCAAAGTTGCCATATAGATGTGAGCTGCTCGACTCCTACTCAGTCCAGTCCCTAAGTGTTCTTTTTAGGATTCAATGTGCCCTCAGGGCACTACTGGATCAAATTTTCCCTCCATCTCACCCCGTTTACCTAAGAGACTTGCAATTCCCATCTCCCATTTCCTTTTCCACTCTCAACCCTCTGGTCGGTGAATCAACTTGGGGCTCTACAACAGGTGGGCTCTGGGCCTTCACAGAATGATGGCACCTTCCTAAACCCTTCTGGATGGTATCTGAGAAGTGTGAATGGCCCGAAGCCAGCCTGCTAGATGAGTCCAATAAAGTGCAGCTGTGGAGTACCTAGGATCTTTGTTTCTTCTTCCGTGTCCGAGGGCAGAGGGGTGTATAAACTGCAGGCGGGACAGGGGAGCTGGCAGCACACAAAGATTTGGTAGAGGGAGACTCTGATCAAAAGGATACACTAATTATGCTTGGAAAGCAGGCTGTGGTTAAGGTTTACAGTGGCAGTTGGAACTGTAAGAAATGTGAATTGTATGCTTTTATGACTCTTTTCCAGAATTGCGGAAAAAGAAGTATGAAAGAGGAGTAAAGAGCAGGAAAAGAGTGGGCCCTTTAGGTGAACATACTGAGAAGTTGTTGGAAAATTATAACTAGGAAGGCATCATATCACTAGGGTACTAGGCCAACTACATACTACCTGTACCTTGAAAAATTTCTGAAGACAGCTTGGTCAACTTTGGGGGATAGGATACAGTTACTGGGAACATGAGGATCACTTTATTCCTTTTTGGATTACCTTATTGAATAACGTGGTTTTGATCTTTTGCCAAACTGACTCTCCCTCTTTTTTAAAGTTCACATTCTATCCTTGCTCTTAAAGCCATATAGATTCAGGCACAAAGCAAACAAACAGGTGTGAACTACTGGGTTCACTTTCTTCCTCCATGAGGGTGAAAGTGGGGGAGAGCTGCGCCTTCAGAGTCAGACAGTTCCAGCCTGCCGACTTCATCAGGGCTCATTGTGCGGACAACGTGCTAAGTACCTCTGTAAGGGTGGTGCCCACATTCCCCAACCAGCGCAGGCATGCTCAGAAAGCACCAACACCACACGGCCAGGCTCTGTCCTGCTCTGGAGAGGACGCCTGCTGAGAGGCCAATGACAGTGTGCTAAGTACCCTGTAAGGGTGGTGCCCACATTCCCCAACCAGCGCAGGCATGCTCAGAAAGCACCAACACCACAACGGCCAGGCTCTGTCCTGCTCTGGAGAGGACGCCTGCTGAGAGGCCAATGACAGCGTGCTAAGTACCCTGTAAGGGTGGTGCCCACATTCCCCAACCAGCACAGGCATGTTCAGAAAGCACCAACACCACACGGCCAGGCTCTGTCCTGCTCTGGAGAGGACTCCTGCTGAGAGGCCAATGACAGTGTGCTAAGTACCTCTGTAAGGGTGGTGCCCACATTCCCCAACCAGCACAGGCATGTTCAGAAAGCACCAACACCACATGGCCAGGCTCTGTCCTGCTCTGGAGAGGACACCTGCTGAGAGGCCAATGTCCTGTCACTTCCGCCACAAAGGTTCTTCTTGGAACCTCCTTGTAACAGCTTTCCCTTCTTCCACCACTAGATGGAATACCTGACTTCTCTTCACTGAACACTGAAAGGACAGTTCTCCAAACGGGACACACTGCTTGAGAATCCCTATGCTGAGTGGGAAATGTTCTTCCTTTCATTTGCTCCCTATAACTATTTTCTAAGCACCTGTATCATCTGAGAAGAAAATGTAAAATACAAGTTAAGGATCCCCACTCTTTGACCTTTAACAAATAAAGTTCTGTCTTTGAGCTTGCTTTTTATTTCAAAAGGGTAATCTGAGCAATGTGGTGGGAATCCCCTGGCATCCTTCTGTAGGCCTTCTGCTAAATTAAGGCTGACCTTAATTTGACTCTTTTGACAACTCATGCCTTTTGGATTCCTTCTTTTAAAGCCACCAGCTGGTGTAGGAATTCTTTTGGGACAGACCACAGATTTTAGAGGAGTAATTGCAGAGAAAAATTATTTCCCTGATTAAATGAAATAGGTGATTCATGTTGGATGCTAGTATGATTGGTTCATGATCTTGAGTGCTGTACCCTATTGTTATACACAGTAGCAGAGCAGCTATCCCAGAAGCGTGCATTGTGTCACAGGCATTTTAGGGACTGTTATGCCAGTTTGATGTTTTGGGTCTTTCTGACGAGGATCAACTTTAAGTAATTATTTAGGGATTCCCAAAGAAATTGGAAGTTCAGTATAAGTGATTTTGCAGAGAGGCAAAGGGGCCATCATGCTGGAAAGAAGCCTCCTCAATTGGGCAGGGGAAATGCTGTCTGCTTCAGACAAGACCTGACCAGTTTGGCACAGGAGACAGGAGAGGTAGCCCAGGAGGAACTTGTTTCACAAGGATCTTCAATTTTATTAAATCTTTCCTTTATTTTTCTCATCTTATTTGTCCTCTCCTTTTTGTTCTCAGAAGCAGCTTGTGTTCATCAATAGAAAAGGCAAAACTTAAATGTAACCACCACTTTCCTGGATAAACACAATCTTTTAATCAAATTTCCCTGGGGGCACTTAGAAGTAGGGAGAAGTCTCATTAACAAGCACTGAGATGCTGCTGCTCACTTTAGAGGAATGAAGGAAACAACTGATTCTCTGAGGGCTCTCACAGAAAACACAGCTTGGAAGAAATGATTTTAGGTAACAAGATATAGAGACTGAAACTGATGATTCTTTTTTTTTTTTGCAGAGTTTTGCTATGTAGTTCAGGCTGGCTGTGACCTTGCAGAGATCCTCCTGCCTCAACCTCTCAAGTGCTGGGATTATAGACATGTGCAACCACAGCTGGCTAGTTCTTTTCTTTTCTGAGACAGATCTCCCTGTGTTGCTTATGCTGATCTCAAAGTCATGAGCCTCTTGCTATAGCCTCCAGGTAGCTGTAATTATGAGTGTGTGTGCCACCATGCCTGGCTCATGATTATCTTTATGACAATATTCCCACAGCTCTATCTTCTTAGCTTAAGAAACACCAAGCCAAACTCTAACTGGCACGTCCAACCTGTGGTCTGCATATGAGACACGCTGTTATAATTTTTTTAAAAGGCAGTTTTGTTACTTATACACATTAACTATATTATGTTTTATATACAGCCTTTCTCACTCAATGTGGGCCAGCCTGGCCAGGCACATCTAAACCAGGAGCTGCAGATGGGACACACTTGCCTAGAACCATCACAACCATCATTAAAACTATCATCTATTGGATCTTTACTGTGTTCCCCATTGTTCAGAGTACTTTATATTTATATTAGATTATTTCATCCTCACATCCTCAGATCCTCTGAGGAATTTTTATCTTTATTTAGAGAAGGTAGTCAGGCAGGACACTTGTCAAAGACACAGAGGTAGTAAAAAGCAGAGCTGAAAGTTAAAGTCAGGTCAGCCTGACTCCAAAGCATCTATTCTTAGCCACAAGAGTGCTTTTTTCTAGCTCAGATTTTCCTTCATATAGACCACTGAGAGACATCTGGACACAGCACTGAACAAATTCAAAGCACTTTCACTTACATTTTATTTGATTTTAAAACTCTGAGAATGAGTCATAACTGTCTCCATTGTTCCACTGGAGAAACCTAGGTACAAAAGGATAAGTAACTTACTACAATGTCCCACCGTTAGCAAGTAGCAAAGCTAATTCTAGAGTAAGCTGTGTTTCCTTTCTACACAACCACATTGTAACTAGTCAAGAAACAAATTTTAGTATCAAGAGCCCCATATTTAGTCAAGTAACTAGCCAAGTAACTGAGCTAATGAAACCAAAATGATTTTTGATATGCTGAAATAAAGAACTGTGAGCATACATCGCTTAGTGATAACTTTCAGTAACAGAAAATATCTGGTTATGCCCAAGCTGGTCACATACCAATTAATTAGTATTAGGAGGAGCCAAGACCATCAGAGAAAGACAGAGCTAGCTAAAATAATGCAAGACAAATACAGGGTGAGCTTTTAAATTTCAAGAGCCCACCTAGCCAGACGCCAGATCTGTGTATTATGAAGTGAGTAGAGAAAAGGAGGGCCAGGACCAACCTATGTTCCTCATGACACTCAAAGTGATTCTTTTCCTTCTAAAATCTCAGGAAGGGAAGTAATGAAGATCAATCCTTTTGTCTAGTTCTCTTCATTTGATCAGAAAGTAAAAATTCAGTGAACTGGATCCAAGAAGTCTTTATTCCATTAGACCCACAGAATTCTGGAAGATGACAAAATATCACAAGAGCAGGGCATGGTGGCATAGGCCTGAAATCTTGGAAGGCTGAAGTGATAGGATTACTGCAAGTTTAAGGCCAGTCTGGGCTATGTAGTGAGTTTAATGCCAGCCTGAGCTACATAGCAAGACTAGCTGTCAAAACAAACAAACCAAACAAATAACAAAATGCACTATAATGTTGGCTGAATAAAAATGAAATACATGGATAGGATCTTATGTTTTAATTTTGTTTTTGTTTTGTTTTTTGTTTGGCTTGGGTTTTTTTGGGTACTGGGGATTCAAACTCAGGACCTTGTGCTTATGAGGCAGGCAGTGGCACCACTGAGCTAAATGCCCGGTCCTGTTTTAAATTTTCATGATTTATAGTTCAAAACAGACAACTATACATTCTGCAATAGATGAAGATGTCAGCAGGAGCATATAAAATTATACTGTTGAGCTCTGAATGACTAAATTGGAAGTATTAGCAAACTCCAAGAAGGGACAATTCAGAAGCTATAAGAGGTTTAGTGCTGCTATGTAAAGTAATGAAGCATTTTCTCTTTTTGGATTCATCTCACCAAACGATTTCCTCAGCAGGTCAGACATAGATTTGCAGCAAAATGGAAAACATTTTCCAGGAATAAAACAACTGATCCCTACAGAGTAGCTGACTTAACTTTTCTAAGTAATAAATCTTTATCCAACATGCCTAGATTCCTCAGAAGGCTGACACTGATATCATCAATCCCTTCCCAACCCTGCCAGACCTTCATCTGTACCTCATGTTTACAGAACAACACTACTGAGAGGGCATGACTGTAGTAGCTATGTGACCTTGTGCAAGGTACTTCTTTATGTCTTTTTTTTGCTCTAAAACTGAAATAACAATGGTACCTATCTCATGTTGTTGATGAGGATTAAATAATTGCTTTAAATGGCCTTGGCACATATGAAGTGCTCAACAAACCTCAGCTATTATTATAACTGCTCTTATACAAAAAAAAGTTTGTTTTTTTTTTGAGACAGAGCCTTGCTATGTAGCTCAGGCTGGCTTTGAAACACTTTTGTTTTTAACATGGCAAAAATAAAAAGTATTTGCCCAATATGTTGAATATTTGGCATGTACTTTGACAGTTTAAAAACTATGTAAACTGAAAATTTTAGATCTAGCTTACAAATCTATTTTGCATTTAGGCTTATTAGTCTGTATGTAACTACTGTAGACTTCATGTTCTTACTAGTTTTAACCATCAAATCTTTCATACAATTATCTCTCTACTCTTTTTAATTTTTCTATTGGCTGCAGTATATAATTTAGCAAAATTTTCAGAGGTTCTTGGTCAATATACTTTCTTAACCCGGTGGTATCTGAGAATATCTTCCAGTTGCCTTCATACACAAATACTAACTTGGCAGGGTAATTCTTGGTTCAAAATTACTTTCCATTAAAACTCTACAGATGTTGTTCCATGGTCTTCTGGTATTTAGAATTGCAAAGGAAAAAAATCTCAGGTCAGTCTTGACTTTTGCCCCTTTATAAGCAATCTGCTTTCTCTGTTTGGATACTGCAAAATTTTTCTTTACTCATGAAATCAAACGAGGATATGTCTAGGTGTAAGATACCCCGTAAGCCTTCTTCATTTGCAGGCCTACTTCATTCTTCAACTTTGGATAATTTTCTTCAACTAGTTCCTTAATTACTGTTTCAGTTTCATTTGATTTTTCCTGTTTCAGGTATTCCTATTACACATAGATTTCTCTCTCCTGGACAGGCCCTGTACATCTCTTTCTCTTTTCTCAGTTTAATTTTTTTTGGCCTTTTCTTCTGCATTTTGTGAGAATTTCTTGTTTTGCATTTACTTCAGCAACTTTATTTTGTGACCAATCCTGCTTACATGCTTCCTTTAAATGGAAGGCCACCATCTCTTCCATGTGGTCATACACCACCTGCTCTATAATTAAGCCCACACACAGATAATGAACTCTTTTATAAGATGTTCATTACTTTCTAGATGATCACTGTAGACAGGTACATCAGTATCAAGAGGCATTTTCTCGATTTCTTAGCTCTATTCCTTCCTTCTGTGGTCTTATCTTTTCAATGACTTTGCTAAGGAGTCCAAAAATGTGGTTTTCCCAAGCAGGAAAGTTGAAGTACCTGAGCTCACTATTGTAGCCCAGGCTGGCCCTCATCTTGTGACAATCCTACTGCCTCAACCTCCCAAGTGCTGGGATTACAGGCCTGTGCCATGCCTGGCTTTCACTCCTTTTTTCCCCCATATATGCAAAGCTTTAGTTTAGAATTTCCAAATCTCTTAAATATGAAGAGGAAACAATTTTGTTTCTATTGCCCGACCTCTTTAGTTCTGAAGAACTGAAGCCACCCCATTGAATCTTGTGCTTTATATGCTTTCTAAAGTAATTAACATTTATTAATGCATCTGGATCTTCTAACATAACTGTGAAAGGAGAATAGCCCAAATTTATAGAAAAGGAACAATGAAGTCCAGAGTAAAGCTATAGGTAATGGTCATACTGCTTTGAAATAGCAGAGAGGCCTAAATGCCAGAGATCCCTTTGGGGCAATTCTACTCATTTATACTTTAATAATAATAAAGTGCATACTTTATTCAGATTTCCCTTTTTTTGTGTGCAGGGTCCCATTTAGGATGTCATGTCCCCTTAGGCTCTTCTTGCCTGTGATAGTTTCTCAGGCTTTCCTTGTTTCTGATGATCTTGATGGTTTTGAGGGGTACTGGTCATGTATTTTGCAGAATGTGGCTCAATTGGGATTTGTATGTTTTGTTTTGTTTTTTCCTCATGATCAGACTGGGGTTAAGGCTTTTTGGAAGACCACAGGGGTAAAATGCCATTCTTACCAAGGGTACATGCTACCAACATGGCTTCACATTGGTGATGTTATCACCTGGCTGAGCTATTTTTTCTCTCCTTTCTACTCTTTGGAAACAAGTCACTATACACAACCCATCCTTCAGGAGTAGGGATTATGGAAATCATTTGGAATTCTGCACAATTTTCTTACTCTCCCCCATTTATTCACTCATTTATCCACTCATTCATTCATGTCAGCATGAACTTATGGATATTTACTACACGGTTCAGGTTATCCAGTCCCACTCTATTTTGTTGCTCAAACTGTTCCGTTGCCAATCAACCTAGGGTTCTTCTGTTCAATTCAGATGAAAATTGTGAATCAGCAAAGTGCAGCTCTGCTAGCCGCCCTGATGTCGCCAAATGACACCAGGTGATGCTGGATGCCAACAGTCAACACAGCCAGCTGCTGGTCACTGCCACTGCTGCCACTGCCGCTGCTGGCTATCACTATCCAATGCCAGCTTGTGCCTGACACCATAGGCTGACCCTACTGGGTGCTTGTATCTGCTGCTAGTCTTCATTGGCTGCTGGTCTCTGGAGCTCCTTGGTGTTAACAGCTCTGGTTTTTTTGTCTTTCTTTGGAAATGATTTCTCTGTCCACATTACTCAAGATAAAAATCTCAAATAAATTTATAGGACTTTTAGAGCCCACACTACCCAAAAAATAAATCCCGAGCAGATGTACAGGAAAACCAAAGCAAGCCTTTAACAGGGCCTGTGTTGCAGCACGGGGGGCCAGTACACAGAAAGGAGACCTTCCAGATCAAAACCTGGGAAGGGGCCGGGGAATGCTGCTTATACAGCAGCTTGCAGGCCTGTTTCAGTGAAAGTGAGGGCTAGAACCATGCTATGAATGCTGAGTACACAATCAAGGGGCTCCGGTTCCCTCCATTCTTCATCTTTAGCCACTCCAGGGTGCCTTCTCTGTTCTTCAGGATCATATGAAGTGGCAAGCATGGGGAAGGAGCACCACACTGCCTGGTGGCACTCATGCTGGACTGGAGAATGGTGGTTTGATAGCTAGCAAAGATACCACTAGATTAGCCAAGGAGGACACTGAAGCAAACTGTCCCAGTCCACTGGGGTGCAAGAGGGATCAAAGGGAAGCAAGGGGGAGAGGCACGCTGGCCCCCAGCCAAGTCACGTCCCCCTTCCAGCTGGCACAGGGAAAAATGAGAGTCAGATGCTTCTGTCTGTCTCAGCTCCAGCTTTAGTCACTGGGAGTTCCTTCACTTGCCCCCTTTGTTCGACATATCCTCATTCATTGATTTAAAAAAAAATTTAGCACTTCATTTTTTGTGGCCCAAGATGCTTCAGGCTCATCTTACATATTTCCTGCTCTACTCCACCAGTCATTCTTCTAAGGAGTCCTGGTTCTTTTTGTAAGAAAGCAAGATCTGGACACTAAGTGTACATTCATTCTAATTCTTTTCTGGCCAAAGAATTTCTGACAAAAATGTTTCAGTCTGGCCACACTGATGTAAACTGGCAACTTCATCATTAGAACTCAGCTCTAGGGAACCACAATCCCGTAAATCACTTTTTCTTTCAAAGCACACGTGAGCCTAAGCAAGAAAGAAAATATGCAAAGAACATTTTTTGAGACAAATCATCAGGCTTGCTGTATTGTAAACCAGCCAAACATAGTCACAACAGAAGTGGAGAAGGAGTCTTAGAATAACAGAGTCATTTGTCGAGGGTCATCAGGGAGAATACTGATAGTATCTTCAGCTTTGCCACATAACAGACACAGCATGGTATACTCCTAGAACAGACAAAGCACACAATTATCTTAAGGGACAGTAAGATGCTTCGTAATTGACTCTGGTAAAGTTCTTCTCTATAAACTGTCACGGACATTCTCTATGAACATTACACAACTTCCTTCTTACCTCCCCTTCTTCCTTGCTCCCTCCCTCCCTCCCCTTTTTCAGTGCTGCTAGAGATGGAACCCAGGGGTACTGTACTTCTAAGCTGTATCCTCGGGTATATTTATTTTTAAAATTTGAGACAGAGTCTCACTAAGATGCCCAGGCTGGCCTTGAACTTGTGATCCTCCTACCTCAGGCTCCAAGTAGCTGGGATTATAGGCATTCACCTCCCTCTCCCCATTAGATTCTTCAACACCTTTAAGCAATGTTTCAGGTTTATTTTACAATCTTCAGAGTCTTTTGCTTATGTAAGTGAATACATGCTGATGCTCTTGTTTAATATGTATATAAGAATGTCACACCAGAAATACACGGCTATTTCTTGGTCTTAGCACACATACTTAACTTAGTGCTGCTATTTAATAATGAAGCAATTTGAGTGTAGGCTCCTAAGGACTTTCTGTTCTTAGAACTGTTCTTTTCTAGGATATTTAACACTAATATGCAACAAGGAGGGGGAAAAAAAAGGAAGGGAGAAAATTCTCAAATTGAAAATGCTACTTTTATCTATTCTAGAAAAATAAACAAGTATGTTAAATTTACTAGTATCCCATGTACCATACTGAAATGTCGAATTGCCCAGAATTTCATCTATTTAAGGAGTTTTATATTTCTTGGGCTCAACAGATGTCCAGACTGGTGAGAGGAATTTTATTTTAGGCAAAAATCCTTAGGGCAAAGTCCTATTCTTGTAGCTGTCCCTTTAAGGAATATTTAATAACAGTCATAAACTACAGAGACACATTTCATTTAAACCTTTTAATTAAAATTTTTTCTTCTTTAGGAAAACATCTGTGTTTAATCTCTCAATATTTCCACACCTGATATTCATTGCTAGCTGTCTGAAAATTAGTCAAGGCCATTTGTGTTTCTTGGGTCTAGTGAAGTCATCAGAAAAGGCCACAGAAAGAAGCAGTGGCAATGGTGCAGGCACTGAGAAGCAGACACTCCTTCCATTTCCCACTGGTAAGTTCATGCAAGGGAGCTTAGCTGTAGCAGTAGAAAGACTGCTTCTTTAGAACCACAACTCTTAAAGAAGTTTATGGTGCTGGAGACGGAACTTAGGGCCTTGTGCATAGTTGATAAGTGCTCTACCACTGAGCTACATTCCCAGGCCTCACACTTATTTTTAAGTCTACTCTATATACATAATAGAAATACACAGACGCTAGAGTTCAGAGAACAACTAACTAGTCCAATGAATTAGAATGAAATAAAAACCCATGTTCTCTAAGATCTACTGTTCTCAAGTACTTCTACTATGTTAACCTACCACACATTACCAGTGGGATGGCAACCTCTTACAGATGAGAAAAGTAATAGACTCAAAAAGGGAAAACGTGAGATGCTACGCAAATACCCACGTTTTCAAATAATTTATTCTTTGCCAAGTTTATACTCAGTGCCCACAATGTGCTAGGTACACTGGCAGATATGAAAGAAGGCAAGGACAAAGTCTGACCTTACAAAATATACAATTTATCTTGGAAGAAAAAAAAATTAATAAATCAAACAGATGATATAAATCTGGTAAGATTACTAATTCAGTGAGACTGATTATACTTGTAATCTTTAACTTATAGGCCGTCTGGAATCCAAATTTCATTGTAAGTCATTTGGCTGGAATTCAAAGAGTTTCCCACAGGAGTAACGTTATATATGTAGCAGTTAAGTTCCCAGGAATATCTAAAACTCTTCCATTTATATTGTACAAGTGCTATAGACTCTAACCATATATAGCAGTGCTCTGTGGGAGAGTATGTACAGAATTCTAACATGGGATGGCAGAAACACAGCTCCCCATGCTGACAGTGATGGGATTAGGCCACCTTTTAGCAAAACTGGCCAAGTAGGGAGAATAAAACCCTCCAGTCATCCATGGGACCCTCAGGGGCTCCATTTGGGTGGCCCTAGGGATAGAGACTTAGAAGGAAGAGTGGTTCAATAAAAGCACCTCTGGGTAAGCCCAGAGCCTTTGTTTATCTGAAAGGTTCTTTGGACCCTTTTTTGCCCTTTTCTTCCCTATTCAATTCTGACACACACTCCCTTTTCCTTTTGTAGCCCATGGAGGAAAGAAAGCAGTTTCACAGTCCCTCTCTTGTTTCCTGAGGTAAACACAAGAGTCTATTTAAGGGCTTTTTACCAGGGGATTTTCAAAAACAAACAATAACTATAACTACTTGTATTTTCCATACTTTCTCTCTCCACCTTCACTTTTAGTCTTGTGCAATAATTGTATTATGATTGTTCTAAAAACTGAATTCTTATCTTTTAGAGATATACAATGAAATATTTATAGAAATGGTGATATGTTTTGGATTTACCTCACAATAATCCTGTGGGGAGATATGGGAATGGTGAAGTACATATAAAACAACCTGAAGCTGGGTAGTGGAGATTAATATACTATTCTGCCTACTTCTGATTATGTGTAAACTTCCTCTAAGATATTCAGAATACACTGAAAGGGTGGGGATGAGGATATGTCACAGCAGCTGAGAGTGACAAGTTAGTGGGGTCATCAGGCTAAGGTAGAAGTGCCCACGGGGCTACTCACTAGACTCAGGACCTGATGCAAGTATAAGAGAAGTTCAGAAAAGGGAGAACACAGCATAGGCTGCACCATCCAGGGCAAGAAGGTAGAATTTAAGAGGCAAGATTTAACTGGGCTGAAGGTAGAGAAAAGGACAATTCAAATCAAGGCAAAAGCACGAATGACAGCAATACAGAAAACAGCAAGCAGATCCCATATGGAATAAGAGGGAAAGAAGCTGCATTTGAAGATCTGTCAGCGAGTGCAGGACGACATGTTTAGGAAGATTAATTCCACAGCAATGTGGAGGACTGTAGTAATTTAGGTTTGAGCAGGTATCGTCCTTCACATGGTAGACAGAAGTGTGGTGTCAAGCCAGAGAAAAGCAAGAGAAACAAAGGATGGAAGGAGGACAGGTCAGATGCCAGAGTCAGGGGAGGAAATCCAGAAGATATTTAATCTAAAACAGACTGAGTACTCACACGTGTCCTACCTGAGGGAGAACAGAGAAGGTTCCAGACCAGAGACCAAAGCTTAGAGGAATCAGACAAAAACAGGAAAGAAAATGAGAAAAAAGCAAAGGAGCAGTAAAGTGATTTAAAAAGAAAGTCAGCCAAACACTATGGAACCCAAGGGATGAAACGCTGCAAAAAGACAATGGTTAACAAAACTAGATCCAGAAAAGATGTTGAGAGTTAAGAAGAGAGGCAAAAATATCATAGGATTTGTTTAGATTACAGGAAACCTCTGGGTGGCTAGTTTTAGTCAAGTAAAAATGAAAACCAGTTTGTAGGTAGTTAAGAGGAGCACAGGAAAATAAGGAAAACAGGGTAAAGACCTATTCAAGTAAAGAAGCAAAAGGAAGGAAAGAGATGATTACAGATGAATTACAAAACTATGTGAGTAAAATTTAAATTTTTTTGTTTTTTGAAACAAGGCCTTGCTCTGTAGTTCAGGCTGGCCTTGAATTCGTGGCAATCCTCCTGCCTCAGCCTCCCAAGTACCGGCATTATAGCCGTCTGTGTACCACCACACCTGGCTTTTAAAATTTACTTTTAATAAAGAACTAATATGTTTTCGCAAGTGCAACATCCTGAGTTCGATCCCTGGTACAAAAAAAAAAAAGAAAGAAGGAAAGAAAGAGAGAGAGAGAGAAAGAAAGAAAGAAAGAAAGGGGGGGGAGGGAGGGAGGAAGGGAGGGAGGGAGGGAGGAAGGAAGGAAGGAAGGAAGGAAGGAAGAAAGAAAGAAAGAAAGAAAGAGAACGAACGAACGAACTAATATGTTTAAAAAATTTAAATCTCCAAAGCTGGAGATTTAAATTTATCTAATTTAAGATTTAAGATTAAATTATCTTACCAGCTAGGAGGCTGAGGCAGGAAGACTGCCCTGAATTTGATGCCAGCCTGAGCTAAATAGTGAATTCAAGGCCAACCTGGACTACATGAGAGACTGTCTCAAAAAAAAAAAAAAAAATCTCATAAAAGAGGATCTACAAAGACAGAAGATAAATGTGATCTCTGAGGAAACAAGGTAGGGTAGCACTGGTGAGGAGGAAATAAAAACCTCCCTATCTAAAAACAGGGAAGGAAGAACCTAAAGTTGGGACACACAGTGTACTTAAGGAAGATTCATGAAAAATGAGGCAAAGGAAACTGAGGCAACCCAGCCAGTGGGAACCATGGGATAAGGAGCTTGGATAGCATATTACAGCCAAAGGTGAGCTATGGGAAGGGCAATGAGGTGCCCTGAAAATAGCAATTAAGAAAAATCATCTGATGACAACATAAAGAATATGGGTTATCAATGCTGAGAGATGGGAGGCTGAGAGTCTCATTTTTTTGTTTTGTTTTTGAGACAGGGTCTTGCTATCTAGTTCAGGCTGGTCTCAAACTTGCAGTAATCCTCCTGCCTCAGCTTTTGAGTGATGAGATTACAGGTGTGTGCCATCATGCCCAATGAGTTTGGTTTACGAGCATTTACAAAAAATTTTTTGGTGGTACTAGGAATTGAACCCAGGATCTTCACATAAGCTATAACCCCAGCACCTTTTTTATTTTTTAATATTGAGACAGGGTCTTATTAAGTCACTAAGTTGCCTAGACCAGGATTGAACTTGGATCCTCCTGATTCAGCCTCCCACAGTGCTGGGCTTACCAGTGTGTGTCACCACGCCCAGCCAAGAGTTTTTCTAAGAGAAATTCACACTATCTAGGCACTGTGACTACTGGCTATCTTCCTTTAGATTTACCTTCTCTACCTACAGTAATTTTGGGACACCTTGAAAATGGTTGCATTCAGTCATTTAAGGAAAATCAAGCAGACTTGGGTCTCATGGCAGTGAGTTACAGTGGCTCAGTGAGGACATAAACAGGCAATCTCAACAAGGACTCAGGGTTCCAAAAGGCTAACACTGGCTTATGGAAAATTGCTGTAAGTACTCCTTTTCTCTCATAAAAATGCAGAACTGTTTCTTGAAGCCCATGAGATGTTCATTCCTCTGTCTGGTCTCTGCTCATTCACAGAGATCTTAATTTTTGCCTTAAACCACACATATCACATAAATGCAGTGGTACCTCGGTTCACAAACTTAATTCATTCCACAATTCTGGAAATGTTGGCCACATTTGTGTTCACGTGGGAAAGATGGGCACAGTCATGTTTGTCACCCAATGCAGAGTTCACAAGTGAAAACAAAATTTTGCCAAATGCTTCTTTTTACAATCCAAATCATTCACAAACATAACCATTCATGAACTGAGGTATCACTGTATGTTGTTTTGTGGTGCTAGACATTGAGCCCAGGGCCTCACACATGCTAGGCCAGCCCTCTACCACCTCCAGCCCTCTAAATATTTTTTAAGGCATAATTTTTGAATGCTGAATAGTTAGTACTAATGATGTTATTCAGATTAACTACTACATATCAGACCAGATTATGACAGGTGGCTAAACACTTTCTTCCACATTAAAGAAAACATAAATAAGGGGACTTATACTATTTTATTACTCTGTTACAGAAGGTCATCTTTTTTTTTTCCTAATTAAAGTACCATCCAAATTTGAAGGACTAGAAAGACAAAATTCTCTTTACAGTTTTTTTCTTTTTTTGTCAGTGGTAGGGATTAAACCCAGGGGATTGTACATAAAAGGCAAGTGCTCGACCACTGAACTACACCCTCAGCCCCTCTCTTGACTGTTAAAATCTCTAACCTGATAACTTATTTTGGGTATTTTTGAAACAGGGTTGCCCTATGAAGTGCAATCCTGCCTCGGCCTCCCAAGTGCTAGGATCAAAAGTGTCAGCCACCACGCAGGGTAAGCTAATATTTATACCCTATGGATAACCATATACTTCACACAGAATAAAGTAGCTCAATTCAAAGGCTTGAAAATGGAGGTGATGAGGGAGCCAAAGGCTCCAGTTTGTCCTAGGTCAGTGGTGGCAAACCTATGGGATGTGTGCCACAGCTGGCTGTTTGTTATCAGTGAAGGCTCTAAAAGGTCTGCCATCACTGTCTTGACTTTGCCCTACTGTCCAGCTTTCTTTCTGACCATGACATCTGTGAATCTTCATCAACTTCAGGACTACCTTACAGGCCATAGCATTCCATGTAATTCTTCCACTGCTCTCACAACTGCATGAAAACTAAACCTATATTAAATCTCTTACTCTCTAGTAGTTTAGTTTTCCTCTTCTAAACTTGATATTAAACAAACAATATTAAGATGTCTCTGTAGGATATAGTACAACTAAGAGCTGCTCAACTGTATATGCCAGTTGGGAAAATAAATATAACCTTTTTATCAAGACTCCCATGCCCAGCAAGTATGGTGGCATGGAAAGGTCAATACTTACAGCCAACAATTGTGCAATTGCATAGTGGGTAGAGAAAAAGGAAGCACAATAATAATCTCACAAGAAGCCATATGGGTGGTGCTTTATAAATTAAAATGACAGGACTGAGATATCATTTGTAGTGCATAGACTTTGATTTATGATTTGTGAAAACAGGTTTTCACAGATTTACTCACCTTTTCTGTCTCAATTTGCACAGGTAGAAGAGAGGAACGGTCCCCTTTAAAAGTTGCTAAAACTTCATTCATAAAAACTGTATCTAAAATTCAAGGTTACTTTAATTATCCCCATGTCATACCCATATTCATATATTTACCTGGAATTCATCCATGATACTGAATGTATACTCATGCCTGGCCACTACATGATGACAATTCTTACACAGATCTGCCAAAACAAAAAGATACTTACATAATTAAGTCCTGGAAAATTTTTTAGAAGAGTAAAAGTTGTTTTCTCAGCAAGATGTTATAAAGAGAATATTAGCTCTGTCATATGTAACACAGCAGAAAACCAGTTATAGTACTGACTTTCATAAGAATTCCAGAATCCATCATTAGCAACACTATAAAATTAGGATCTGAATTCAGAGGCATAATGTGTACACATTAATTCCCACTGAAAGCTCTCCAAAAGAATCAATTAGCAGATACCTAAGTGTGTTTTTTAAACTAGCTGGACCTATCTAAAAGACTTAATTCTCAGAAATGACAGTACAGTGGACCCTTGACTTACGAACTCACTTTGCTTTTGAGGGCTGATTTTAACTCAAGCTGGTCAATGAAAGCTCAGGCTCCTCTACACAGCCTTCGAAGTCTCTTTCCTGTATACAGACAGATCTCAGTGTCCATAGACAGATACTGGCCCAGGATTCCTCAATTAATCCTACACAGGAAAAGATGTTGTAATGTTCCTTCCAGAACTCTTTAAGGGTTAAATCTGTACCTGAGACCATCTGGAAGCACAAGTGGCCAGCATTTTGGTCGTAACTTAAGACTCTGTTCATAAGTTAAAACTAAAATTTTCCTGTCATAACCCATGTTGTTCATATGTCAGGGTGGTTGTAACTCGAGGGTCCACTGTAACTGTGTTATTAGCAATCATTAATAAAAACCAATGCTGAACATTAAAGTGAATATAATGGTAAAAAAGAATCTAGGAAAAACAATGCAGTAATAACAACCACGATTTATTGAATATTTACTGGGTGTCGAATTTTTTTTTCAATTTTGTAGTACTAGAGATTGAACACAGACCCTTTACCCTGACCCTTTTGTGACAGGGTCTTACTAAATTGCTAAGTTCCCCAAGATGGGGTCAAACTTACAAAGGTCTTGCCTCAGCCTCCCAGAGTGCTGAGATTATACCTGTGCCCCCGGCATGAGATACTCTTTTAAATATTTTTTACCTATTTATTCACTAAATCTTCTAAAAAACTCAATGAGATAAATATTATTATTATCACTTTTTTAAAATAAATTAGGAAACAAAGGTACACCGTGGTTAAGAAAACAGGACAACTACTGAGGTGGGAGGTGTTCGAACCAGAGTTCAAACCCAAGCATTCTGGCTCCAGAGCCCTTGCTCATGACAACTATGTCCTACAGCCTAGAACAAAACACAGTTTCAAGGGAATATATGCTTAAAAGAAAGAAAAAGATTCTTTTGGGGGGCATTTTTTTCAACTGAGTCTATCCTAAAGTCTTGGTGTCTTTCCTACCTCTTTCAAAATATCATTATCTGTATGCTTAGAAATATATTCAATATACACTCAAGAACCAGGAGACAAGCAAGAAGGGGACGTGAACAGCTTAAACACTTGTCACAACGTCCACATATACTTCATGTGTACATATACTTAATTTACAAATAGTCATTCTTAGCCCCCCAGAATTGATTTATTTTTATTATATACAGTTTATTGATTTGGTTTCCCAATATTGAGGATAAGTAGTATATGAAGGTAGCATATTTATAAAAGCAAAATCAAGAAACAACAGACTGATGGTGAGATAGAGCCCCCCCCAGAAGTTATAAAAGCCAGCAACAAGTTATAAAAGCAAAACCAAGATTGAAAAAACCATGGCATCCCAGAGTCATCTAGTATAGGGGCAAAGAGGCCTAAACAGTTTAGTAGCTGTTAGAAGCCGCCACTGTATATGCTGTAATAGAAAGCGAAAACTCAGAGATGACCCCACCGGTAAAAAGAGTCTCTGTATTTTATTTAAGGTAGTATAAAGGCCTTTAAAGTGTTGCTGAAGAAATAATTTAATTAGAAAGTCAGTCCCTAAATCACAAGCTTCAGTTATCTGCAAAAGTCATTTATGTAGAATATCTGATACTAGATAATGAGCTATTAACTATATTCTACTCTTAAAAACCTAACCAGTAACTAGTTGTTGCAATACAATATGCCTCAGAACACTTTGTACACCATATGGAACTTCCAAAAGCTGATACCTGTTGATAGGTTTTACATTAAAAAAAAACCCAAAAAGCCTCCTTACGATCATAGGTAACTATTTCTTCTCCATCTTCCTCTTTTAAGGATTTGTTTGTGATCAGCATAAAATCCCGCTTATTGCATACTGCACAGCCTGTAAAGTTCAGTAAGAAAGATCCATTCTCCAGGCAGGTGTTACCCTAAAATATTAAAAACAGGAATTTAATTCTCTTACATTTTTATACCTTTGGTGAAAGTGATAAATAGATTTAAATTCTCTAAAAGCAAAAAATCATGGCCAGAATTTATTTGCTTCAAGGCTGCACCAAGTAGTTACTTGCTTTCCTAAAGACATGTTATTCATGATTAATAAAACTGAAGCACTGTTAAGTCTGTAAGTCTCTGAGGACACCAACTGTATTTAAAAGAGCAAAGTGCAAGCAGGTAGTTAGAAATAACAAGAGAACCTTAACATGAAATACAAAAAGTAAAATAAGAAAAATGTCACAGCCAACAATATTAAATGAGGTGTATCACAACTAAAATTAAATCAAAGTGGAAACACTGAGTTAATGCCAAAGATGATCTTATACCCTGTGACCTGCGGACTGTTGAAACACCTTCCTCTCAAGTCTTAATAATACACAAAATAAAGCAAAGCATTCAGATCCACAAATGTCAGTTCTGACAGATATATGTGATTCCAGCAGAAAAAGCAAATTCCATGATGCATTATTAGCCTGACACACAGCATTCAAGAAAGACAGGGTTTAGCTTCATCACTAAGAAACAGTAAAGAACTTTTGTTCCTGGCTCAAGGGAACTCTTTGCTAAGGGCTTACCACTGTTAAGAATCAAGTTGTTTTACAAATAATCTAGCCTAACCCATTCCTGAGCAACAAATTTAGAGTATTTTAAAATAGTCACTGTTGGGCCAAGGATTTAGCTCAGTGGTACTGTGGCTGCCTCCCAAGTGCAAGATCCTGAGTTCGATCCCCGGTACTGAAGAAAAATAAATAAATAAAATAAGATAGTCATTGTGACTAAAGAACATTTAAATCAACATTTCCCCAAAGCATTTATATGCCTGATATATGTAAAGCACCACAGAGGATTCAAAGACGAGCAAACTGTTTTTACCTTCAAGTGGCTTAAGAATTAAGCTCTACCTTAAGACCCGCCTTAAATGCCACAAGAAATCTTTCTGGATTCCCAGCACCACAATTAGTCTCTTTCGTGTAAGAGGCTTCTCAGATCTAGGTATGATGGAAGAAATTAACCCTGGTGGAGAGATTTCAGACACTACTATACAGTTTGGAAATATTAAACCATTGACTTAATTACGAATGGAAAAAAAGGCCTTGGAATTAAGGTATAAACTTATAGCTATTAAGAACAAGTACTTTCACCAGGCATGGTTGACTTACTTTTTTTTTTAAAAAGGGTATCTTTTAAACTTTAAAATGTATACTGAGCTATAATTTACATACAAGAAAATTCACATATTGTAAGGGTACAGATGAATGACTTTTTAAACAAACATCTACCCATGTAGCCACAACCCCTATCAAAAGACGGAACATTCCTTTCTCCCCCGGAAGTTCCTTCATGCTTTAAGTCTATCTCAACCTCTATCTCATACTAGGGACCCAACAATTTCATTCTCTCTCTATATTCTTACAAGTTCCAGAATCTCACAAGTAGATTCCAGTGTACAGATTCATCTGTTGATGGACATCTGGGATATTTTCAGTTTTGGGTTATAATGAATAAAGCAACTATGAAGATTCATGTCCAAGTCTTGTGTGGGTGTCTTCTTTTCTCTCGGGTAAGAATGTAGAAAGAGAACTGCTGAGTTCATAATACGGTTTAAAAAAGTGTATTTAACTTTGTAAGATCTGCCAAATGGTTTTCCATTTTAAAGGCTTGTCAACAAGGTATGAGTTCCAGTTGCTTCAGTCTTTTTTACTTTACTGTAAAGTGGTAACATCACTGTAGTTTTCATTTGGGTTTCCCCAATGACTAATGATGTTGAGCACCTTTTCGTTGTGCTTATTTGTAACTTCTTTCGTGAACTGTCTATTGAATTCTTTTGCTCATTTTTAAGGTTAGGCTGTTTGTCTTCTTATATTAAGAATTCTTTATATATCTTGGATACAATTTTTTTGCCAAATAGAACAAAGATTTTCTCATTGTCATTAGTTTGCTTTTTATGAACTTCAATTTATCATTTTATTCTCTTTTGATTTGTACTTCTTGTCCCCTAAGACATCTTTACCTATGCCAAAATTGCAAAGATTTTCTCGTTTTCTTTTAGAAGTTTTATAGTTTTAATTTGTAAGTTTATGATCTATCTTGAAGTAATTTGGTATGAGGTAAGATCAAACTTCCATAAAGATACTTAGTTGTTCCAGCAACATGAAAGACAACTTGAAAGACAAGCCTTTCTTCATTGAATTATAATGGAATTATAGAAAATCAAATAACTACATAGGGTCTAGTTTAACTCCTCTGTTGATTTATTTATCTATCATTGCTGTAATACCACATTCTTTTTCAGCACCAGGGACTGAATCCGGGACCTTTACACTAAGCTACATCCCCAGCTCCTTTTTTAAAAAAATTTGAGACAGGGTCTCACAAAGTTGCTAAATTGCCCAGGCTGAGCTCAAATTTGTGATTCCTCCTGCCTCAGCTTCCCAGAGTGCTGGGATTACAGGCATGGACCACCATGCCTGGCAACATTCTCTTGACTATAGCTTTACACACAGTCTACATTGGGTAGCTTATGTAGTATAACCCAGCTATTACAGGGTGTTCTTTTTTTCATTTTCATAAAAATTTTAGAATCAATTTACAAACTTGTACAAAAAAACTTGCAGGAATTTGACATGAGACTGGTTGGAGTCAGACTGTCACAGATTCCAAGAAATTAAGGAAAGTAAAACAATCTCTAAAAACATCTAAATATCAATTTCAAAGAGAGCTGAACTGAGTTGCACCAAAAATACAGCTTCTTCCACAGTACAGACCAAACTCTAATCTGATCTTGTAAGTAGGCAGAATGGAAACTCTAAGGAAACACTGAGAAGCTATTTGTATCTGTTGTGTGTTAAGTAAATTCCTGAAATAGCAAACTGCAAGTATAGTAAATAAGAAACAGATGGGACTTTCCCTAAGAGCCCTGGTCATTTGAAAGCAGTGACAGTAACCCTTATCAGTGAGGTGTAGCCCTTTTATTAGACTATTAACATCCAAATTTGGGAAAATAAACTAAAGCACACAATATTCTAGGAAGGTTTTGAGAATTCCATAGGAAAGAAAGACTACAATCAAAATCAATTCCACTCTAATAATAGTAAGCAATAAGAAGGGAAAAAAGTGAAGTACTCTTAGAAAGTATGATGCAGAAAAATCCTGGTTGAAGATTTCTAAAGGTACACAAGTGTGCAAGAGGAAATGGCTGGGGCTGGGGATTTCGCTCAGTGGTTCCACTGCCTGCCCCACAAGTGCAAGGACCCAAGTTCGATCCCCAGTACCAAAAAACAAAACAAAACAAAACAAAAAGAAGAAATGGCTGAAAACTATAATTAGTATGACAGATGAAAATTAGTATGATAGTATAGTGTAAAATATTATAAATTTGAGAGATCTGCAATTATTTTGACAAGGATTGGACCAATTTGGTTTTTTCCTGGAAAACAAATATTTCTGATGATACTACCCACTGAACCCAGGGCCTTCACTGACCTCATCCTGGACCTTTTTTCTTTTTTAAAAGACAGGTTTCTCCCTAAGTCGGCCAGGCTGGCCTCAAACTTGAAATCCTCCTGCCTCATCTTCTCAAGTACTGGAGTCACAGGCATGTGTCACCATGCCTGGCTGAGACTATGGTTGTTAAAGAACCAGCTTTTGGGGGGTTTTTTTCCTACTGCTTTTCTCTTCCTTATTTAATTTATACTTTATTTCCTTCCTTCTGCTTACTTTAGGTCTAGTTGGCTCTTGATTTTCCATTGTCTTGATGTTTGCCTATTGATTTGAGATTGTTCTTTTTTAATATAGGCATTTACAACCATAACATTTAAAACTGCAGAATAGCATTTTTGAAACACCCAGTCACACACAATGTTTTAGTAGTTATGTATCCAACTCAGCATTTAATTAAAATTGGCTTAAATCCTATCTACTAAGCAAGAATTTGAATGCATGAACTCTGCTAGCTTAGTTTTATTTATTTTGATACCAGGGATCAAACTCAGGACCTTGTGCTTGCGAGGCAGGTGTGGCGCTACTGAGCTAAATCCCTGGCCCCGCAGCTTAGCTTTAAATGAGGTACAAAACACATAACTTTTAAACTCATTCATTTACATTGATTTTTCCTTCTGATTAATCTAATGATTTCTTCATTTCTGTTGCATTATTACATAGTTTAAAAGGTGAAATTTGAAATATATGAAATGCAGGTTTCATTTGAATTTGATTTGTAAAAAATTTTATTACAGCTGGGTATGGTGGGACATGGCTGCAATCCCAGCACTTGGGAGGCAGAGGAAGGAAGATTGCTGAGAGTTTGAGGCCAGCCTAGGCTACATAGTGAGTTCAAGAGCAGCCAGAACTACACAGTGAGACCTTGTCTCAAAAAACCAAAAGACTGGGCCAGGGATTTAGCTCAGTGGTTTTGCTGCCTGCTGTGCAAGCGCAAAGACCCGAGTTCGATCCCCAGTACAAAAAAAAAAAAACAAAAACTCCAAAAGATAAATTTTTTAAAATTTTAAATTTTATTAGTTTTGTTCTGTTCAGTTATTTTAGAAAATGCAATATGATTCTAGTTCTAAATGGTTTCTAAATGTTTTGAAAAAAATTTGCTGGTTCATAGTTGAGTAAAAAATTTAGAGGGCAGAGCGAGTGTGGTTGCACCAACACCAGTACTTAGCCGTGGACCAGTGTATCCTTGGGGTAGAGAGCTGGACGTGTGGCTTCTGAGCTGGGTGGGACTTTCTCTGTGGTAACAACGAAAGAGCACTGAGCCTCGGATGCGGAAGCCGAAGCAGATTTAAAAATGGGTGATGCTCAGAAAGGCAAGAGGATTTTTGTACAGAAGTGTGCTCAGTGCCACACTGTGGAGAAGGGAGGCAAGCACAAGACTAGCCCAAATCTCCATGGTCTGTTTGGGCGGAAGACAGGTCAAGCTGTTGGATTCTCTTACACAGATGCCAATAAGAACAAAGGCATCACCTGGGGAGAGGATACACTGATGGAGTACTTGGAGAATCCCAAGAAGTACATCTCTAGAACAAAAAATGATCTTCGCTGGCATTAAGAAAGGAGAAAGGGCACACTTAATAGCTTACCTCAAAAAAGCTACTAATGAGTAATAGTCACTGCCTTATTTATTACAGAACAGAAATGTCTCATGGCTTTTTTATGTGTACCATAATTTAATAGATCTCATACACCAAAATGCAGATCATGAGTGGCTGACAGAATATTTTTGTTGGACAGTTCCGATTTAAATAAAATCGGCTTATAGTTAAATGGATATCTTTTTTTTTTCAAGTTTTGATAGTAATTCCAATTCAGTAAATACTATCACTGTTTTCCCTTTCTAAAAATATGGTTGGACTTGATTAGTAATGTTCGACTTTTCACAAAGATGGAGAATGTTATCTCAAAACCTACTGGAGGCTGGTTTTATATTTAGATTTATACATATAACTGGTTGTGTGAATATGTTTAAATACCAGGGAAATCCTTCACTGTCTCACAACCAAGCAAGACTCCTGTTTCAATTTGTTTATTAGCTTGTTAAAGACAGTGGTTGAAGACAAGGAAGGAACATCTATATTTTTTATCTTGACTATGCCAATTTAATTAGAATTCCCTGTATCTAAAGACTGCTGCTTTTTACTTATGGAAAGGCATTTTAGTGTGGTGTATGTATAATACTAAATAAAGAATATTTAACACTTCTCACCTTTGATAGTTGATCTATAAGTTCAGATCCTTTTAAAAGCATGATACAATAGTAAGATTTTATTTTTGAATTCTTTACTTTGGACTAAGTTATTATTCAGGATAGTATTTAAACAGCTATTTAAAAACAAAAGATTGAAAGTACTGTTTTTTGTGTGATTGGCAGAGGTGCTTTTTGTCAGCTCTTTAGAAGGATTAAAGTGGGGAAGGTACAACATCAGCACAAATTTTTATGTGACCATAATACTTAATTAAAAACAAAAGCAGATTGAAAAAAAAATTTAGCTTCAGAAAATTAGTATGGTTAATTTCCAACTATATTCATGCTTGAATTCAAGTTCTCAGTGTACACATTTCAGCAAATAGGGCAGAGCCCTGTTAGGAATTCAGTACTGTGTTATTTCTAGTCTATGAAAAACATCAATTACTAAACTCCAGCTATTTTCTGTAACCAAAGATAAATAATTAAATATCACTTACTTAATGTGCACTTACTTTCTTGACAAGCTAATCTATTTTCTCTGCCAATTTTTTTTTTTAATTAGGGAACTATATTTGCTGCTGCCATTTTATTACCCTTTCTTTTGTCAAGCTCAAGCAAAGTGGCTTTCACTTTTAATGCCCTTAAGAGTATGTCATAATTTCAAAGAATCTCAGACAGAGGGGGGTCCTTGATACTCCAAATAGTCTACTGAACAAGAGGAAGGGAACACAATTCTTCCAAAAGTTACCCATCCCATTTTCGAACATCTGCTAGAAAAGGTCTTTATTCTGATTCAAAGTCTATCATAACTCATAACACCCACCCACTAGTTATTTCTAAATCTGCCTTCTGAAATTCCAAAGAAAAGTTAATTCTTCATGATAGCCTTTAATTATTTCAGAACAGAATACAGGGGAAAGTGCTTTGGAAAGGCACTTTCCTGTTTTTCGAATCATCTCAGTCCTTACTCTTCTTTAGATTTTTAAATTTTTTATTTCCTGTTAATTTATTCTTTGAAGCTCAGTCTTTAGTTCTCTATATTCTTTTCCTGAAGAACAAACCTTTTCTATTTTGACAATTTTCCTGGCTCATATCCAAACATTATCTCTTCCCATCTCCTCAGATGTTACATTCTCAACCTCAAATGAAGCATGATAAAAAACGACCTGACCATCTGCACCCCCAATTTTGCTTCTTCTCATATGGCTCCAATGTCTGTGATATTTCTAATTCAGCTGCCTAGTTTGGAAACCTGAGATCTATAGCTTTTCCCTATTTCTCTCCTACATTAAATTGGTTGAGTCCATTAGTTCTTTCTCTGAAATCAGGCTTTTATTTTCCCATGCCTACACTGTTGACTTGTTCTGTGGGCTCTTCTTTCACACTCCCAACCCCACCCCACCAACCCAACATACAGCCATGACTCATATTCCCTAATAACAGATTTTGGAGTCATTTCCTATACAAAATCATTCTTATGGTTGCCCATGGCCTACAAAGGGTAAAAATCTAAACTCCTGAGTATGACTCGAGTCTTTCACTTGCCTCTACTCTTAAGAATTCAGCCTATGAAATAGAACACAATAGCGAAAAATATGAGACATAAGTGTACAGAATAGTGATTGAGTGAACATCTATAGTATCAACACTCAAAGAAAATACTTCCATCCCAGACTTCCCTTCCTTTCTGATCATACCCCTAATCCACCTAATCCAGTGGTGGCAAACCTATGGCACATGTGCTAGAAAGGCTGTTTGTTATCACTGAAAGCTCTAAAAGCCTCACCATCACTGCCCTAATCCTTTAGCAATTACCAATATCACCACTTTATGGTAATTGTTTGCATTCCTTCATAGTTTTACCACCCAGAAAAATTTCTTTTTTCTTTTGGTACTGGGGCTTGAACCTAGGGCTGAGTTATATCTCCACCCCTTTTAAAATTTCTGAGACAAAATCTCGCTAAACTGCTAAGCTACCCAGGCTCAACTCAAACTTGCAATCCTCCTGCCTCAGCCTCCAAGAGTGCTGGGATTATAGGCATGCATCACCATGCCTGGCAGTTATGGCTTGTATCTAGGTGTTCTCTCAAAGAACCACGGGTGTTGGGGGGGTCATGGGGGAGCTTTTCAGAGGTGCCTGGATCTAGGGTGTGTGATGCTGGGATTGATTCATGGATCAATGCTAGCATTAAGGGTGCTCCACCCTGGCTATGAGTGCTATCTGCCCTAAGGGTGGGTGGCCTGGATAGGATATGAGCAGACCGCTGCTGTGCTGCTCATCGGTTGCTGCTTCCTTGCTACTTTGCTGCCTTCCTGCCTTCTGCCCACCATGAACTGCCATGCCACCTTGCTTTGGAGCCTGCCACTATGAACTGAAACCTCTACATAATTGTGAGTTACAATAAACCTTTCCTTCTTTAACTATGGGTGTCGGGTATTTTGTCTAAGCAATGAGGAAAATAACTAAGACACCTGGCTTAGCTTGCCTATGTTTGAATTATACTTGATGTGTGCATGTGTGTGTGTATGTTTTTTAATCACACAGTACTGGTAAGACTGGGTTGTATGTAATTTTCATTTATTTTAGCTACTTCAGGTCTCCTTAACCTCGGCTCTATTGACAATGGGGCATACAATTTTTTGCTGTGCCAGCTGTCCTATATATTACTGGATGTTTAGTAAAATCAATAGCCTGTACCCATTAGATATCAGGAGTAGTTCCCCCATTGTGACAAACAAAAACATCTCCAGTTGTCAAATGGTCCCTGAAGGCAAAACTACTCCTAGTTGAGGATCATTATTTTAATTCACTTATTTTTATTCCTCATTCTTTTATGATGTTCCATTCTGTATCAGTTACTTTTCCAGTCTGCTACTACAAATAATGCCCTTATGTACATTCTTATACAAAAATCTCCAGAAGCATATGCATATGCATTTTTCTAGAATAAGAATTACTGGATCATTTTGGTGTACACATCTTTAACTTCATTTGATGCAAAACCTTTTTTCAAAAGTGATTATGAGAATTCAAGTTATATAACTTTCTCAAAAGACTATGTATTACTCATAAAATATTAAGAGAAGGAAGCAACTGTAGAGATCTTCTACCTTCAACCAAAGCAAGAATTGTTATTTTCCTCCAGCCTCCAGCTCCTTCTTTTCTACCCTAATTAAAACTATCCTTCAAGTCTCAATTTAAGCCCACTATTTTGGACAGTGCCATCCTATCTCCTGTCCCCTTCCTCTTTCTCTAAATGTAAATAGCATTTATGGTCTGTCCTATTCATTTCTATTAATCACATACACCACCACCCGCAAACACACACTTGTACGCTTTTAAATAGCACGGAAGCCATCTTGTTAGTCATCCCTTTATAGTTAGCAAAGTAATCTACCTATATACATCTCAATGTCCAAGCATATACCCTGAATGAATGAGAACCGACAAGCATTGAAATTTCTTGGGCCTGAGAGGAACAGATATTACAAAGAAAGTCACAACCAGAAAAATGGAATTTCCATCTTGCCTCCAACATTATCTAGAATGTGAACTTGAGCAAGGGATTTCCCATCTCTGGGCTTTAGACTCATCATCTGCAAAAGTGGATCAGCACAGATGATCTCCGAAATTCCTTCCAAGGTTAGAATTCGGTATGAAAACTGAACTTCATTAAATTCAGTTTGAGGTCTAGAGCGGGGGTGGCAATGGGAGGCTGCTGTTGATGTGGGTGATGGTGCTATTTTCTGTTGTTCCCTGGAGCTTACGGGAACGGGAATGCGGGCCGATGCCAGCTGCCAGGACGGGACTCGTGGGCACGGACAGCCACAGATCGCGCCGGTGACCAGCACCTAAATATAGACCGGGGGGGGTCACCGGAATGGGCAGTGTAACCGAGGCCGCCCGGCCTGTCTGACAAGTCCAGATGGGGGAAGGTGAGGAGCCTCAGGGGCAGACCGTGGAGCAAGGGAGTGGTTCGTCTCGGTGCCCACTAGCTCACCCGGTTGGGATACTCCTTCTCCACACAGTCCCCACACATCGCGACGCGGTTGACCGAGAACTTCCTCCACCGCTTCCGGGAAGACAAAACCTCGCGAGAGCTGAGGGAAGGTTGGCCGCATGCGCTTTAAGTACTCGATCCGGGGTATTTGGCTTCGGGAACGGATTCGAAGTCCCGCCCCCTAACAACTGTTGTTAGGGCAGGGAGCGCAGGGGTCTCTTTGGCAACAGTGGTAGGCAAGGGTTGGGATGTCAAATTTTTTGAGAAAAGGGAAAGTTCTGATGACTGACAAATGTGGCAGGAAGGGGAAGTGTGTCCCAGACCGACCGAAAGAACTTCTAATAGGCGACTTCCTGAACTTAGGCTAACAGAAAATCAAATCACGACACACGAGAGAGAATTGTTTCTCACTGCCTTGGCTTACTCTTTGTGTTAAAAAAAAAAAATAGATAATACCTTAAATACCTTTCTGTACAGTTTCTTAAAGAAGGGAGAGTGATCAGAGATCAGATCTCGGGAGGTGAATAAACAATAACTGAAGGTTTTGGAAAGAGACACTTAGAGTTCTGCAGAGAATCTCCCAAGAACATTTTAAAATGTTAATAATAAATGACCACCCTGGAGTCCTCTGGAGGACATAAAGATGGGAAACGTGTTTGTATTTGTCTCTCTTTATCACAGAAGTATATCAGCGGAGGGCAATTCTACATAAATAGAAGACCAGATTAGTTATCCCTGCATCGTTTCCTGATCCTTCAGGTCTCAAAATGCCTATGATTGTCGCCCTGCCTCTTCCTTGCCCTCTGTATTGAAAGCATTTCATTATTCACAACGATATAATTAACCTAAATATGAATCTCCAAAGTCTGTTTATGTGCTTCTGATCAACCTGTTTTCATCATACCCAGCTATTCCACCATCCTCTTGTAGCCATGCTATATTGAGGTCAAGTCAAGGAAGAAAGATTGGGTAGCATGAGACTCTGGGATCCAGATTCTTCAACGCAAGCCAGTTTAATTGGGTTTTCTAATGTGGAAATTATGTCTCCATTGGAGAATTTAAATTATAACCTTTAGTATCTCAGCCAATGATAATGCTTACTGAGAATCACAGGTGTACTGAGAAACACTGCGCCACCAGAGTGCCACCAGAGTTGACTTTACTCTTGGGATAATTATAATACTCTCATTTGCATGACATTTTCAACCTTTACAAGTGCCCTCATTTAGGTTTCTAATTTGGTGCAATTATATTTCTGTACCATTGGTGAGAAAAGTGTGTCTCCTCTTTTCAGATGAGGGAAGGAAGAAAATAAGTGGTTGAAAGTCTTGTCTATGTACCAGAACTATTCAGTAGTCAGCTAGGACTAAGATGGTGTTCCTATTTTCAGCTCAACTTCTTTCTAACAACAAAGCCACTAGCCACAAAAGCTATCAAGCACTTTAAATATGGCAAGTTTAAACTGAGATATGTTGCATGCACACTAGATATGAAAAACAGTAAGAAAAAAATGTCAAACATCTCAAATGATTGTAATCAATCAATCATTTATGTTTTAATTAATTTATTGGTACATTTTAGGTATACAATATGACATTCATCATTGGAAATTTGCACCTTTACATAATCCATCTTGGTTCTTATTTTTTCCCCATTCCCCTGCCTTCCCTTCAACACCTCCATCCCTCCCTCACCCCTTGATACCGGGGATTGACACCACTCCTCCCACCCCTTGATACCAGGGATTCAACCCAGGACCTTTGTTGTTCCCATCCCCTCCCTTTTTTATTTTGAGACAGGGCTTCCTTAAGTTGCTAATTGACCAGGCTGGGCTTGAACTTGTGATTCTCCTGCCTCAGCCTCCCAGTAGTGCTGGAATTGCAGGTGTGCACCACTACGCCTGACTTCAGCTCAATTTTTTTTATATGATTACATATTAAAATAATGTTTTGATACATTAAGTTAAATAAATATATTATTAATGTTAATTGAACTTTTTTGTTTTAATGTACTTGAATATTTAACCCCACACGCAGTAAGTAAAGCAAATATCATTATTACTCTTGGTATATCAAACTGAATTCTAGGAATGTAATAAAGTCTGACTTAGAAATATTACACAGAAAAAGATTGAATTAACAAACAATTGCATTTTTTACTTTTTTTCTCATACTTTACATTGACAGATAGCTGCAATTGCACATTTTTAAAAAATGTGACTACTAGAAAATTTTAAAGCATATGTGTAGCTCTCATTTTATTCCTATTAGACAGGGTTAGTCTACACAGTTCTCCCTCTTGACCCACCTTTAACTTTCTTCTCTGTTTTTAAAGTCTAACAACAGCTTTTACTTTTACTAACCATTATATCTACTTTACTCAATTCTTTTTTTAAATTAATTTTATTCATACATTTAAGGTATACAATATAATGACATTCATCATTGGAAATTTGCACCTTTACATAATCCATCTTGGTTCTTATTTTTTCCCCATTCCCCTGCCCTCCCTTAAACCTACTTTACTCAATTCTATAGATACTTACTGAATGCATTTGATGTGTGCAAAGAACCGTGTGGACAACAGGAAGCTGAAAATGGCACTGTCTGTTCCTACTATCCCGATTCTCACAACATGGTCTGGGAGGTAAAATGAGCACAGATCCCTATAATTAATTGCTGGCAGACTGTGGCGTAGGAAGACAAAGTGGAAAGGCTACTCCCAGATGGGTGATTGGGCAAGAGGAGTTTGGATCCTGAAGAGTGCATAGGATTTGAAAAAGCAAATAATATAAAAGAATTTCAGGTGGACAGGGCCAAGGAGTTTGGCTCTTATTCTGCAGGTGATGGGGAGGGATGAAGGTGTGAGCAAAAGAGTGATGCAGAGTTGTGGTTGAAGATTATTTTAGCAGCATCTTATTGGGATTGATTGGAATTGGAAGAAATTAGATACAGAAAGACAGACACTAACAGGAACCACAAGGGGGAGATGTATAGCTTTCTGCCTCATTACTAGTAAAAAAGGTGCATGACAAAAACAATATTAGGTAAATTAAAACTCACACTGAGTCACAGAGCTCAAAGACTATGTCATTTGACATGAACTGATTTCATATTCTGAGGCATGAGCCACAATCTACATATTTACAAGTGTCTTTTTACCTTCCCAGGGAATATTGTGTCTTATCATTAAAATGAGCAAGTAAAAAGAAAAACAGTCATCTTATTCACAGGCTCAGAAGTTAAAGGACTAAGTGCTGTCCACTCAGCAAAGTCCTCCATTCAAATCTAGCCACATTCAAGGAAGAGAGGCAGCAAACAAGACTGGAGGGAGGAGGTGGGCAGGACCAGAAATTGAAGTGTGATTGCAATAATAGGAATTTAAACATATACAAGGGTGATGGGTAAAAGAAAGAAAAATAGAGGCTACAAAGCAAGAGATTAGCACCTAAAGGAATGAACAGGTAATGGTCTAAAATAAATAAAACACTAATAAAATTTATTTTCTTTTTTCTTACATTACCTATATAAGGTAATATAAAATAAAGTTGCAGGAATCCTGTAAGATCATCTACTAGAACTTTCTTGAGACAATACCCTGCCCATATGAATCTTTAAAAACATGTGATGTCAGTAGTGTACATCAAATATACCCATGTGCTTGGACATGAGATTGTCTTTTGATAAATGGAATCAATTTAGTAAACTTTAAAAAAAATTTTTTTTAATTTAGGAAACTTTTAATGTTAAAATAGTATTACTTGCTGGTTCAATTGCTAAACTACATCCCTGGGGCAAGATTAAGGTTTTCCACTAAAGAGTGCAGCTTGAATCTCCTTTAATTATTTTTTATTTTTTAAACAGGCAAAATGTTAAACAAACTTTATTACATGCCCAAAGTGTCAGAGTGTTAGACTCCTGAATTGCTTTCTAATATTTCTTTCTATTACCTTTTTTCTTTTGCTTCTTATGATGCCCAAAGCAAAGAAGCTGGAAGGATGCAGGGCTGATCATATCTCTCCTCTCCATCTTTTTGTTTAAAATGATTAAAAAATGCCCTCCCCCATCCCCACCCCGGTCTTCAAGGTGACATTTTCAGACCAGTCTCACAGATGGAGGGAAGGAAGCTCACCTGCTTGATGTATGTCATTTTTTTCTCAAGGAAAGTGTGAAATATGAGTCTGGTTGTTTTTCCCTGGTGTCACCTGCCTAGTGTGAATGAATTAGCTACAGGTGAACCTGGCTAAGGACAGATACACCAGATCTCCTAAAAGTTTAGGGCCTACAGGGTTTTATTGTTGTTGATTGTTTTCTTAGTTCAGTGGCCTAGTTGGACTTTCTCCATCCCTTTAGGATTCTGAAGGGCTGCTTTGGGTGATTTTTTTCCTATTCCAATTGTTAACTTCGGTATTTCAAACACATGGCATCTAGTGGGATCGCCTTCATTTCCCTTTCTTCTTCCAGTTTCTTCAGCTCTCTTCACTTTATTTTCAAGTGTAGATGATCATTTCCATATAACATGTTCATGATATATGTCAAAATCTCTTTTAAGGAAATACTCTCTGTCAAATCTTGAGTGGACTGGAGTGGATTTAATAATTAAGATTTAACTGGGTATTAGACACTGTTATTTTATTGTGGGTTTTCTCCCTAAAGTACACCTCAGTATACTAGAACAGACCTTCTTTTCCACCTATATTGACTCTGAAGGGTAAAGGAGTTTGGAGATTTTAAAGAAGTTGGAAAAGTAAAGAGAGGGAAGCCAAGCAGCTCCTGATCATCCTGCAGAGTAAAAGCAGATGGAGGGTTACTCCAAGGTGAGGTAGGCATAAAATCCACAGGAATTAAGGAACCTGAGCCATGTGGAAAAGAGGAGTTTTGACTTCAAATGGAAAAAGAATGCTTAGGAACTGCCAGGAATATTTGGGGAAAAACATGGTTACCTAGAGTTAAAATGTTAATTCTGGTCCTAATTGTATCTTAATAACAGGAGGATCATAATGAAAGTTGTTCCTTGGCTAAGCTTCGATTTTCTCATCTGTAAAAGAATGAAACAATAACTGTTCTTCCCTCTCAAGATTGCTTTATAAAATGATTCACAGGTTTTAGATATAT